TTTCTCATCCATTTCCTCTCTCCTTAATCTATCAGTCTCTCTTTTCCTCCTTTCTTTTCAGTGGCCTTTCATCCTATCCCACTTGATAGTAGCCATGAATACTTAGGACTCCTGGGTCTATGACTCAGTGGTCCCCATCTGAAGGCTCAGAGCTACTATACTGTTAGGAAGGAGTGAGCATCCCTGCAGTAAAGAGGTAGAGTGAGTTTGGTGGGGAGGGGCCTGGGTTGGTTGGCTGCATACAGGTTACTGATGTCCACCATTGCATTGTACATGAGCATCTGAAGGAGAGTGTGAGGGGACGGCATGGCAGTCTGTGGCCCTCTTCTTCATGCATGACAATACATGCACACGTGATGGGCACAGGTGTCAGGGAAGTGAGGAAGTAGGCAACCAGGGCAGCCGACAGCCTAGGGCATTTCTGGCAATTTCCCCAATGGAGTGTTTAACCACAAAGGGAAGAGCAATTAAAGCTAATCGCTCTGACAGCCTGGGGGCCAGACACATACTAGAGAAACAAAATATACATATTCAGCATGTTTCCCTTGATTCCCTGTGGTCTCACCACCAGGCTGCTTTCAACCTCCCTGACTGCTGAGCCTCTGTGGTCCATTCCCAGCACTCTTCCCACTCTTCTGACCATCTCTGTCTCTCACTTCCTCCCTCTCCCTGTCCCTGACTGTCTGTCCCTCTCTCCATGTGTCTCCCTTTCACACACATTCTCCTCATTCTCTCTCTCTGACTTGGGCTCCATCCTTGGCTGACTCATATTCATTCTTCCTTTTTCTCCCTCTCCCTTTCTTCCACCCTCTCCTCCATCCCTTGGCCACTCTTATGCCCAGGAACCAGCCACTCCCAGCATCCTGAGCTCTAACTGGACCCAGCAAGAGAGGCCACCAGCAGCCCCTACCCTCCCTACTCACCCAGTTTCAGAACACCAGGCTCACTCGCGCTCAAGATCCTCTCTCCCTGTCCTAAAGTGAGACCAGGATTTTCTCCCATCTTTTCCCCTGTTTTAAAGAAGCACTCAAAGTCCAGGGCTGGGAGAAGATGCCCAGAAAATTAGGGTGGACTTGGGGACAGTGGCCCCCACTCAGCTATCCTGCTAGACTGCTGTTCTTCCAAGACTTGCACATGGGAGGCAGAGGGGGTGAGGTGGGGGTTGGACGTGTAGTGCAGCAACATTTGTGATTTGCTGTATGCGAGACGATGTGTGTAAGAGTCACATGGGTGTGTGTCACTGTGTGTGCTGGTGTGTGTCTTGTAGGTGTGTGTGTCCCTGTCAGTTTTGACATGGATTATATGAAATAGGGGTTTTACAGTTAGCTACTTCACTTCTCTACACCCCCAGCTCCTTCCTCCTTCCCTCCAGACAAGCTTTCGCCAATCCCACCTCTTCCCCAGGTGCAGAGGGCTAGGATGAGGGCACATGGTGCGAGCGGCCAGGTTTGAGCCCTCGGAGCAGGGGCGGCTGCCGGAGGAACTGAGGCAGGGTTGGGCCGGGAGACCGCCAGCCCAGGAGAGTCCGAAGCCAGAGAAGGGGAGGGAGGGGCGGGAGCTGGCCCGGCCGAGCCGGCTGGGCGGGAAGCAGGCTCCATCCTAATCCCCAGGCCCCGGTCCGACTCCAAAACTGCCGTTCAGCCTGAAATGGGCGGCCGAAGCCACGCCGCCTCCAACACACCTCGGCACTCGGGACTCACCGACACATACCGAGCCCGTGCGGCCTGACACAGAGCGGACCCGTCCGGGGCCCCCGCTCCCCATCCGGCCCCGGGCGTCCCGGATCGACGCCCCTCCGAGCCCAGACTCCAAATCTGCCCCCTCCCCGCGACACATCTCCTCTCCGCCCTCTCACCGCCTCCGGGGCTGAGCGCTCAGGGCGCGGGCACTCCGGTGTCCCCGGTTCCTGAGCAGCGTCCGGAGCCTCCTCCTCAGCTCCCGCCGCCGCCGCCGCCGCTGCCGCTTCTGCCGCCGCCGCCGCCGCCTCTTCCGCCCGCGGAGCCCGAGCCCGAGCCCAGCGCCGCCTCACCCCACCCGGCCGGCCCGTGATGTCAGAGCCGGGGAGGGGCGGGGGGCGGGGAGCGGCAGGAGGGGGAGGGGAGACAGCCGGGGGCTGGGGTTCTGGAAGGCTCCTGGGATAGGGGACAGAAGTGGGGGAGGGCTGGAGTAGGTGCGCTGCCTCTTCCCTAAACCGCAAAACCCAATTCTCAGATTTCTTTCCCAATGGGACACTCCCCTCCCCTTGTGACCTTTCCATGACCACAGCAGCTGGGACCATGGGATGCACAGAGTGAGTTAGGGTTTAGGGATTTGGAAGGCCTTTGGCCTCTGGGTCCGCTTAGACTTGGTATTTGGAAAAACCTTTTTCCCTCCCCGTATGGGTTAGGGGAGCTCAGACTCATCCACATTGGGGGATGGGGTTAGAAGCAGGGGTTGCGGGGAGAAGCAACACGGGCCTCCTTCCCTTAACCTGGAGCCATGGATTCTCTCTCTCCAGGAAGATGCTAGCGGCCCCCTTGTGTTCCTCTCACCTTTCCCAAATATACCACCCTCCAGCCTTCCCCCTCCTATGATGTAATTTTATTTTCTGGGGAGAAAAAGAGCAGCAGTGAGCTCAGCATGCAAATATAGACAACTTGCAAAGCCACACTTAGCTCTGTCTCCTAGCTCTGCCCCTCTCCTCAGGCCCAGCATGGCAGCTCTCACTTCCCCTCAACCCCAGGGACTTTCCTCCCCCAGATTCTCAGCCAGACTGAAAGAGGGAAGGAAGAAGTGGGGAAGCATCTGTTTTTACCCCCATCTCCAGCCTAAGAGATCCCACCTCAACTCTGGCAGAGTCTGGCCCTGGGAAGAGGTCTGAGCTCCATCAGTGTTTGTACCACCTCTGAGAACCCCCTGACTTCACACCAGTTCCCACCTGGCAGAGACCCCTCAAGAAGCCTTAGCTGAGCCCCTCATTCCTTGAGTCTACACTGTTCCTCCAAGAGGCTCAGGCTCAGCTCCTGCTGCTTTTGGGTTCCACAGCCCTTCTCTTTGTTCTTCATCATCTCCTCTCCCAGTGCACCCTGTCACTGCTCCTTTGATAGTAACACACCCTCGTAATTTACCTTTGTATATATTTCACTTGTTCTGTGTTGCAGGGCCAAAAACAATTTTGTTGACCCATCTTTGAGACTCAGAGAAGCTAAACGACTTCTCTACAGCAGTGAAAGGTTCAGGTCTCCCAGAGTCAACCAGGTACAGGGGACCTTGGCTTCATGCTGGCTCTACTCCTTTCTTGGGCAGGTTATGCCCTTGAGCCTCAGTGTCCTCGCTGGTAAGATGGTGACACCAATTCCCATCTTAGAGAGGAGTTCTGAGATTTAGAAATCATCAGTCTTCTAGGGCCTCGCACAGATGGGTACTTAAAACATGGGAGCTATTATTTAGTCCAAGGCCTTTCACTGACCTCTGCTAGACAGTAGGCTCCATAATATTATTATACTGGCCCAGTGTCCATACATTTATTACATGGGTCCAAGTTGGATGAATACATGGTTTCTACTTTATACTCCTGTCACCTTCTCTAGGAACACTCCCTGGATTTGTCTGTAGAGGGTGAAAACTTCTCTAACTACAGGTCTCATCTTCTGTACTTAAAAATCCTCTAAGTCTCACAGCAATGCATTTATACCTGATCCATGAACACCGTAATGTCTTTTAGCTACGGGCTTGTTCAGTTGCTTGGTTCCCCCACCCCGACTCCTTGGTTCTACCACCCTGACTCCTTTATACTTACCCCAACTTGGGCTGTGCCAGAGAGAATGCAGATCCTTCCTGCCAGGAACTGCAGCAGGCCCAGGTCTGGGGGACCCCTATTATACAAAACTCAACGTCTCCTCCCCACTCCTGTGACCACCACTCAGGTCCATATTCTTCCAACTTCACCCCAATTATTATAACAATCTCTGATTATATGAGTTGGGCTCCCTGCCTCTGGTATCTCCATCAGCTCCCCTCCCTATATCCATTCTCTTCATCACTGCCAGATTAAATTTTGCCCTTCCTCCCCATTTTATAGGATTAAATTCAAACACCTCTACAACCGAGTCCCATTATGCCCACGCAACCTCATGACCGCCACTTGAACTCCTCGTCTTGTCTCTCTGGTTTCTTCTGGGCCCCAATATGACACACACCATTCTGCCAGTGCTTTTGATGTCTCCATCAACTGAAATGTCCCCTCCCCAACTCCTTGGCCCCCAATCAAATCCTACTCTTCCTTTAAGGCCTAGAAAATGCTCACTTCCTTTATGAAGCCATCAAAGCCCACTCTGATCTCTCTTCTCTAAGCCCATTCTGTTCATTTGTTCCTTCTTTTAACAGACATTTATTAGGGACTACTTTTTGTATGTCAGGCCCTGTGGACACAGAGAAAAGCCTGGGTCCCTGCCTTCAAGGGGCTCACAGTCTAGTGGGCAGGATGGATACGTAAATGAAGAACTGTGATAGAATAGGCTGAATACCAGAATAGAGGTGTATTTAGAGAGTGCAGTGTGAACCCAGAGGAGGGAACTGCAGGCGGGTGACACCTCTGGGAAGGCCTCATCGAGGAAGTGTTATTTGGGCTCAGTCTTGACATTCAAATAAGAGCTGCAGGGAGGGTGCTATCAAGCAGCACGTAATCACTTAATTACATATTGCTTTGTATTTTTCTTCAATTGTTTAGTGTGTTTGTCTTGACTTCCCAGTGAGTCTAATCAGCTCCAGAGCAGGGACAGGCCCAGCACTCTCTGTTCTCCCAGAGCCTAATAGCGGTGCTGGACAAACACCATGTGTTCAGAAAAGGCTTGTTGACTTGCAGCAGATAAATAATCCAAGCTTCTCTGGGATAACTGCCTGGAGGGAGCCCCACCAGCCTCCTATCACAGTCCCCTAACAAGGCACCCATACCTAAATCTCCCAATCTCTGGCTGCCTCTCTCCTGCCACAGGGGTGAGACCTCATCAGCAGACACTTGCTCATGCTGCCCCAGATCCTTTATTGAGGCCTCTTATTTGACCCAAATACATTAACAAGAGATTGGTGAGATACAGCCCCACAGAACCCTCCCTTCCTCCTGGCCAGGGATAGGACAGTCAGAAGGATATAGGATTTAAGAGAGTGGGGGAAGAGTGTGCAGAAGTGGAGGGAACAGAATAGAGATAGGAGCCCACAGATATGGCAAGAAAATCAGAAGAAAGAGTGTAGGGAGTGATGGAAGAAACAAATACTAGATACAGGGACATTGTTGGACAGGAAACAGAAGTCAGATGAGATAGGTCGGCTGGTATGTAGGGAAAAGTGCTCCTTCCCTCATTAAGTGAGGGGGATCAGAGTCTCAGCACTCAGCCTACAGACCCCAGTGGGCCCTAGTCAGAGAATGACCTAGTGTCCCTGGAGAAGCTCAGGGAAGGCAGGAGGAAGCCTGAGGAGAGCAAGTGGGGCTAGGAGATGGTAGCTACAGCAACTAGTCATCATCGTCATCATCGTCGTCATCATCATCGTCATCATCCTCTGTGTTGATCTCGCCCGACAGCACATCCTCCAGCCAGTCCTCCAGCTCCTCAGGGGAGGGCAGGTCCTCCTCGTCGTCCATCTCCAACCATACGCTGTCCGCCTAGGACATGGCACAGACAGGGAACCAGAGCTAAGACTGACTCAGGTCTTTGGACCCATCCTCCCACTCACTGGACTCTGTATATCCTTCCCCACATCTTCTGTCCCTTCCCTTCATCTGTCAACAGCCAGAGAAACTGTCCAGGTGAAGGTCTAAGTTAGAATGGTGACAGTGGGAGTAGAAAGAATAGTTGGACTGGCAAATAGCCCTCCTCCTTTCACTCTTTCTTCCAAGCTCTTGACATGCTGCGCTTCCTAAAACAGACCTCTCGATCATGCCCTTGACGCAAAACCACTGGTGGCTCTTCCTGGCCTAGAGAATAAAGTCAGCAACTCTTCAGCATTCAAGGCTTTTCATGACCTGCTTTTTCAGCACCATCCTCAGAGATCTCTAGGCTCTCAAGCTGTAAAAAATGACTTGCCTTTTCCTGAACCTAACCTGATATTCATTTTCCTACTTTTGACCTTTTGCACTAACTTTTCCATCAATTTGGAAGTGCTTCTCAACTGTAGAACTCCTATACGTTGTACAATCTCCACTTTAAATGCCACTCCTTTTAAACCCTTCTCTGATTCTCTCAAGCAGAAATCACTTTGATTTTTGTGCCTTCCTAGCATTTTATGTGTATCTTTATTACAGAGTTTATCAGATCTGGCCTTGTAGTTAATGGAATACTGCTTTCCCAGTTAGACTGAGAATTATATGAAAGCAAAGACTGTGGCTTGTTCAGTTCTACTGAATAAACATTTTTGAAGCACCTGCTACATGTGAATGAGAAGATGTCTGCCCTCAAAAAGCTCAAAGTCTACTGGAGGGGACAGACATGATACATAAATAGCCATATAAAAGCCATGTTCTTGATGCCAAATGGGCTCTTGGAGTGCCAAGGAGGGAATGATTCCAAATGGGAGATCTAGAAAGACTTCATGGCGAAGAGAGGATTTGAACAGGGGCTTGAAGGATGAGCAGCCGATTCCAACAGGCGAAGATGGGCATGTTCAGATCATGAATCTCTCCCTCCATCCAGTCATTAGACTGGGCATGTCTAATTTCTATGGGAAGGGCTCAATTCCTAGTTGGCAGAGCACAGGAGAGCTCGCTATGCTGGGAAGCAGAGTTAGGGGTCAACCAGGGATGAGGGAAGGAAACTCACATCAGTAACATTGACGACTCCTATTTGTGGGGCTGACAGGTCAATGTCAAACGTCTTCTCCCAGTATGGAACCAGCTGTAGAAAGACCACATATGGCAACTTAATGGAGTCTAGGAACACATGAGTCCAAGGGGATGTGTGTGAGGGTCAGCTGAGAGACAGAGGGAAGACACTATGAACCCATGGTGGATGAGGGATGAGTCCTTCTATAAGACCTGAAAGGATTGGATACAACTAAGCAGTTAAAGGGTAGAAATCTGAAAGGGAAAGTATCAGGAGGGTCAGCTGGGGACATTGGCCCCTCCTATCTAAGGAAAACTAGATAGGAAACCCCTGTTCTGATCCTGGATCTGCTACTGATTGACCTTGTGACTCTGAGCAAGGCACTTCTCCTTGGCCCTCAATTTCTACATCTCTAAACTATGGTAATTATACCTGGTAATTGCCAATGTTCCTCACATTTCTGTTTGTCCATTCCATTACTCTTTCAACAATTAGTGCTAGGTGTTGGAGACTCAGCGAGGAACAAAGCCATACCCTGAGACATGGAATCTCTGTGCTTTGATTCTATTATTGTGTATACCATGTGCAGGGTTAATGTGCCCATCTGTTCCCCCAAACTCTGGATTTCTTTAGAAGGAACCATCCCTGGGCACATGTGCTACCTGCCCAGTCTCTGCTCTAGGAATTATGTGTGTTATGACCCATGTGATTCACTTCCCATCCTGTTTTCCCTTTCTCAGGATGCCCTTCATGCCCACAGTGCCCATGATCATGCAACAGGCAGAAACCTTCCAGGGTCCCCCAGCTAGAAGATGAGGAAAGACTCTGAAACAAGCTCTCCTCAGAAAGTGCCACTATCTAAGGCCCCACCTTAGGTTAGCAGTGCCTGAGCGGACCTCTTACCAGGGGGAAGTCATCAGGGTCAATCCAGATGATGCTAAGATCAGGGTTATCAGTGTTATCTTGGGCCACAGACTTGAGGGTCTCCAAGAACTCATAGCCATCTTGGAGGAAACACAAGTGAGAAGTGTGAGGTGGGGCAGAGAGGAAAGGGACCCAGAGGGAACAAGAGTCTAGATCTCTTTCCCACCTCCCACAGTTCCACAGGTCTAGCTGCAGGCTGCTTGTACTTTTCCAGGAATGCCTCCCAAGTGAAGCCTATGCTCCAATTGACAGCCCCGCCTCCCCCCTCTCACCAGTGCCCCCCCAAATCCAATCCAGTATTTCTCCCTCACCAGGATCTGCTTCCTCTGCAAAGGCCACAATATGGATTCCATCCAGATCATCCTCCTGTTAGGGGAGAGGAGGCCTTAGTTATGCTCCCTGAAGTCAGAGAGCCCAGAACAGACCCTAGATCTTCCTTGAACCTGAGTTTTTTGGAAATCCAGCTTGTGGATCAGGTATATTCTCGTGGTGGTGACCCTTTCCCAAGTGACACTGCTCCCTTCAGCTCCAGGGCCCCCATACCTCCTCTGGCAAACTCTTTAGCTCCAGAGCTTGGAGCTCCTCCCTTGTCATCTTCATCTACTTATGTGTGTCTCCCAATGCCTGACACATTCTTGAGAACAAAACCCTCAACCTTTGCTGGTGCATTGTCAGTCCTACAAGCAAGGCATGAGGAACAGTAGGGTGGGATGTTTCTAGGACTTGAGTCTTTAGCCACCCATGCTCCCCTAAGGGCCTGGCCTGGTCCAGGGGCACTCACCCAGGTCTCATACATACTCTCAGGCTTCAGTTTCCTCAAGGTTGACCTAGAAGCAACAGACAGAAAGTCATACTCAGTGGGTGAGAAGAATGCCCTCCCCTCCAGAGGGTCCCCACAGCAGAGGCTGCCTCTGGGTCATGTCTAGGGCACAGACAGCTTGTAGCCCAGAACAAAGCCATCTGGCCAAACCTAAGCCCTGGGCACCAGGCCCAGATCACTGCATGGTTAGAGCAGGTGGGAGAGCAGAGGGTGAACAAGGGGACTGGGAGAGAGACTTTTGGGAGGAAGGTAAGAACTGGACATCTGCGTATTCGCTCGTTCATTCATTCATTCATTCAAAAAAATTGAGTGTCTGAGATGTTCTAAGCACTGTGCATGGTGCTATGTAGATAGAGCTGAACCAGGCAAACATGTTCCTGCCCTGATGAGGGGACCATAATCTAGTGGGAGAGAATGAGAGTGAGTAGTGTTTATACTGATGAGTGGGTATTTCCAGCGGTGGAGTACTGTGAAGGGAGAGAATTATGTGTGAGTGTAGGGCAGAGTTTCTCAACCTCAGCACTACTGACATTTGGGGCCAGATAATTGTGTTTTGGGGGAGCTGTCCTGTGTGCACTATAGGATGTTTAGCAGCATCCCTGGCCTCTACCCACTAAATGTACACATATATGGAGGACCTCCTATGTGTAGGGCTCAGGGCTAAGTGCTAGCATGCAAAATGTTGTGTAAAATGGTGAGTGTATCAGTGAGCACTGGTACCCAGAAGTGCATTCATCTCCAGGTGAGTCCAAGCTCCTGGCTGGCTGAGATTCCCCCAGCCTATCTCATAGACTGGTGTTCTAGCCTGAGGAGGAGCCTACCCTGCTCAGACGGTTGCCCCTGCTCCCCACCTCCTGTGCTTCTCCACGAAGTTGACAATCTCCTCTTCGCTATTGGGCTTATCTGGGATGGTCACAGGTTCTTCCATGAAGGCCTCATAGAAATCGATCTCATTCAGCTTCAGGGTCAGCTTCTTTGCCACCTTTGAGGGAGGGGGCAGGGGGGAGTAGAGCAGGGGATGCAGGATCAGGGTGAGAAGCAGTATTATCAGGGAGCAGATATTAGGAAGGGAGTCAGACAACCTGGGCCCTTGTCACTGCCACTGTGACACTGGACAAGTGTCTTAACTTCTCTGGGCTTTGGCTGAACAGGAGAGGGGTACTTTAGATGTCTAAAATCTGTGGGGCAGGAGAGGCCTGAGATGGGGGTGAGGGTGGAGAATGTCATGTGTAGGGAAAGACTAGGTCCCCCAAAGATTCTGGAAGAGGGGGCAGGGCAGCTGAAGGGAGTGAGGGAGACCCAATGTAGCCGTGGGGAGGAGAACCTTGCTGTCGAAGGTGGCAAAGAAGGGGATGTAGGGATGAAACTCCTCCGCCGCATCCTCGTAGGCTTTGTAATCTGAGGGGGGAATGCAGAGTTAGTCTCTGGGGGAACCAGGGTCCTCCAGGAAACCATCCCCCCCTCCCCAATATGGGAGGTGGGGTTCATTCTGAGACCCACTCCCTCTAGTCCTCTGAGAGTGGCTAAAATATAGTTGGGGGAGGCAGAATGCTGGAGGTGCCTGTCTGGGAAGCCCCTCCAGTGCAGGGAGCTCAGAGCAGTTGATGAAGCTGACTGTGGCAAGAGGAGTTAGGAGGCAGAGCTGCTGAGACAGTGGGTGAAGTGGGGAGGTAGGAGGACAGGTAAAATGGGGATCCAGGGAGGGCACAGTGGAGTCTGAGGGTTACCCACGCTCTGAATCTTTGCTCTTGAAGTAGCCAATGAGTTTGTTCTCATCCTCAAGATTCTCGAACGCCTGCAGCTCTCGTTCACCCTCAATCAATTCTACAGGGTCCTCTAGGACCTGGAGGAACAGGGACATTGAAGGAAGAGAGTGAGTTTCGGTCCTCACCAATAGAAGCAGGGAGAGGAGGGGTGGGGAACAGGAGGAAGGGGCTAGCTGTTCACTATGTGTGTGAGGTGGGAGTTGATGGGGAGGGCACGAAGTCTTAAAGCAAGGCCATTAGGTCCAGGGGAATCCTCACATCAAGCAGAAACTCCACCAGGGTGTCAGCAGAAAGCTCGCCATCATACTCAATGACTTCATCTCCCTTGAACACATAAATGCTGTCCTCTTCAGTTAGTCCTGGGAGTGAGCCAGGGGTGAGCCATCATCCCAAACTTCCCACGGATTCAGGGGTCCAAATCCAGGGTTGCAGCCCAGTCCATAATCCCAGTGGGCCCCATATCCTCCACCTCCCTCTTCCTTGCCCCCTCACCTCCACTGCCCCTTAGCCCCTACTCCCCTAGTGTCTGTACCTCTGGATTTAGTCTAGGTAGCTAGCTGGGGCCCATGGGCTCTCCAGGGAGAAGCTAGGTTCAGGTGGGGGTGTTAGGGCAGGACATAGGGAGATATAGACTCTAGCAAGTTTTCTCCCTTTCTCTGCCTGTCATAACTAGAGACAGATATTTATGTTACCTCCTCTGAGGACTCTAGTCGCTGATTCCCAGCCCCCCCTTTAACCCTCTGCTATTACTGACCAAATGACTTCATTACTGACCACCCTTCCCCCATCCACTTCCGGAGTCCAGTCTCATGCCTGCGCTGCCCCCTGGTGGCCGGTTCTGTAACACCTGGCCAGGGCTCTGGAGGGGGAGGGGTTGGAAGAAGAGTTTGCAGAGGCCACTCCAGCCCCACCTGTGTTCCCTGAATTCCCCCTTTCCTCAACACCTAGCCCTGTTTTTTACGTAAGCATAAAGAAAGCCACCTTCACCTGTTTCTGAGATTTGAGCATTGGTCTCTATAAGGAATAAAGGAGAGGCCAGGACCTCAGCCACACCCCTCCCAAATTCAGTATTTTCTCCCCTACTTTCAGAATAGGCATGGTGGAGGCCCTGGTCTATATAAGGGCTGTCACCTGGTCCTCCAGCCTAGGCCTCCCCCTCTCACAGGCCAGCTTCCCCTCCCTGCCCCGCCCCACCCCCCTTACCTAGTTTCTTGGCTACAGCTGCATCCTTCTCAGAGTCCACCAGCCCGAAGCCAACACCTTTGTCTTCTAGGACTTGGGCTGCTAACTGGAGGAAGGTTAGGGTTAAAACCAGCCCACGGAATTCTTAGTAAACCCTATTACCCTCTCTTGCTTTCAAGTTGGGGTCATTTAAGATGCAGGGAATAGAAGAGTTAACCTTGACACTGTACTGGGATCTGGGATATCTCCACTTTCCCTAGAACCCCACCCTTCTGGTCTTTAGTTCAATTCTTAATCCCTGAAGATTTATTGCTCATTTACAATGTGCTTATTATGTAGAACTTTAAGGCACTGCGCTTCAGAGTGACTGAGGCCCTTCGCTCCTTCAGGGACTCCATAGAACCCTGCACTCCATCCTGATCAAAGGCCATGCTCAGCATGGCAGTGAACTCCCTGGTATTCTTCTGAGTAGGAAGAATTCCCATTCTTCCAATGGGAAGAATTTTGGAGGGCAGGAGGGTAGTGGGAGGTCCGTTCATGTTGCTGAGGAGTGGGGAAAGCCAGAGAGCTGAGAGTAGAGGTCACTGTGACCACCACTCATCATCCACAGAGGCCGAGACTGACAGGGACTGGAGGTGAAACAGACCGGGCTCTCCTCATCTGGGCTGAACTTTCCCTTTCCCTCTCCACCTCAGCCTGTCCCTAGGCTATGGATAGTCACACCCGTAGGTCCCTGTCCCCGGCAGCCTGTGTCTTGGGCATGGCTTGCAGCTTTACCCCACATAATACAGACTCGGGCGCCCGGATTCTCAGGAGGACAGGGAAGGGAGGCTGTTGGCAGATGGATGGCCAGGGATGCTGAGCACTCAGGATAAAAATACTCAGTGCATTAATCAGATGGCAGTTCCAGCCCCCGGCAGGGGCACACAAACGAGAGCTTGCAGGCCTGGTATCTTGCCCTGAAATACTCCAAGCTCTGGGCAAGCTGGGGGCTCTCTGTAAGGCCAAGCTAGAGAGGGAGCTGCAGAAGTTTAGACAAGAAAACTCTGTCACATCCTGGCTCTTAGAGGGCTGTGTGACCACACCTCCCTATCATCCCCAAATAGGCTTTTTTTCTTGTTACAATAGCCTCCCTCTCCTTTGGGCCTGAAGTCAGCTTGGGGGTGAGGAGAATCTTCCCATAAAGAGAAATTGAAGACGGCATTTTGAAGCATCCTCCAACCACAAAAATTTGCCAATCAGGGAATCCAGCTTGATCCAATAAAGGCAGATGGGGAATTTGGGGGTGGGGGAAGAGAGAGGGGACTGAGAGACCAATGGGAGGCATGGTGGTTTTTATTAAAGATGAAACCATGAAATAAATGACATGCAAATAAGATGTCAATAACATTTAAATTGATTTGGATTTCTTTGGGGTACAGCCCCTAAAGTGTAGGGAGAGAGGCCATATTCTGGCTAGGAAAGTAGATTGGGGGGTGCAATACGCTGCGCTGCAGTTCTCCCCCTTCCCCCTTTTTTGTCCCCCTTCCAAGGACACCCCAGTTCTAGCCAAGCCTAGTGCTACCAGCCTCCTATAGCACGGAGGAGAGATCTCCCTGCAGCCTCGCTCCATTCCTCCTAAAATTGCCTAACTATGGTGGCGCTTTTGGGTTCCCAAGTTTGTTTCTCATTTGGCTAAGGCCACATGCCATTTGTGTCCTGTTGGTCAAGACGGGGGTCCTGCTGCACTGCCCCTAGCCCCTAGATCCTGCCCTCAAAGATCTATGTGGAGTTGTAGGATAGAGGGTTGCAGAGAGGGACGGGGTGTGCTCTGCAGGCCTGCAGACCCACCACTCACCTCCAGGATCAGCTCCTCCATCTCAAATTGTCTTTGTGAGGCCTTGTCGTCCTCGGGGGGCTCGTGGTAGAGCAGTGCCAGCACCTCATACTTCTTGAACACATTCTTGTAGTTCTTTGCGTTGACATTGACCACACGGTCCACACCATCATACTCAGGAAAGTCCAGCCCTTCCTCCCCCTGCACCCCTGACTTAGGGGTCCCTAGCACCAGCAGTAACAGCATTGCCAGCCGCAGGCCCTGCACAGCTCTGGCCCCCATCCTGTCTGCAGCGCTCATGGAGGTAGTGGGACGTGGGTCGGCTCTCCTGGTCCAGAAGAAGTTAGCTGGGGTGGGGAGGGGCCCCTGGGTCCTGAATCCTGAGTTAGGGGCTCACAGTGGGGGTGGGGTGGAGAACAGCCCAGGGCAGTGGACAGAGGACACTGCTGAGTCCTGGAGAAACTGCCGATGGAGCCAAGAGAAAAAGGGTCAGGAGGAGGAATAGGAGCAGGGGGCGGGGAGGGAACCGGAGCTGCCCCTGAGATTGGCACCCCTTGGCCCGCACCTGGTCCTGTCTAAATATGTCTCTGGGATTGGCAGAAGAGATGGATAACCTTCTGAGGCCAGGACAGCTCCATGAGGGCTGGGATCCTCCCACCTCCTACACCTCTCCCCTAGGCTCCCAGAACCTCCTTCCCCTCCCCCTCCCCCAATGTTCAGGGCTCCTCAGCCCCTGTCCCAGCGCCTCTGGCCTGAGAGCTCATCGCCATATTAAGAAAGGAAAAAGCCAGAGCTAAAAATAAGACCAGATGAGTCGGAGGTAAATGAAGCTGGGGCTGGGGGAGGGGAGATTTGGGGTAATTAGGGAGGGCTCAGGGAGGGCAAAGTAATCAGAGAGAAGGAAATGGAGGTGGAGAAGAGGAGGTATTCTGGGTCAGAGGTTAAATTCGCAGGACAGGACAAAACGGGGACAAATGCAATATTGACTCTAGGTCTTAAAAACTGGGAGTCTCCTCTAGGTGAAGTCTGTTTCTTTGATCCTGTGGAGGAGGAGGGCAGTAAAAATGCAATCCAGGTTGCAGGAAAGAGACCCCTGCACTTCTCTTTAAAGAACCAGAACCAAGGATGAGGTCATTCTCTGAATAAAAGATGGAGCCGCGTCCAGGACTGGCCACCTGGCTCAGCTCCAGCCAGTTTCCTTTGCTTCACTCAACACTCCTAACTCGGGAATGTAAGGGAAGGACAGGGCGTGGGACGAGAAGTGCTGGCCCACATCCATCCTGTAGAGGTGTGGATTTGGGGTTTCTCTGCCCAGGACGGACAAGATGAGAAGGGAGAAGTCATTCGGCCACGGCCTCCTACTCACTCTCTCTACTCTGATCCTTTGCGACTCAGTTTTCTAGGGCACAGTGGGAAGGGAGGATTCCCCAGGCTGAATGATTCCAAGGAGAGTGGATAGCAACTATTCATTCGTACATCTTTGACAAGACAAAGAGGATCAGGTATAAACACCAGGGAAAAAAATTAACACCGGGAAAACATGAAGAGGTGGGTCCTGTGCCCTAAGCCAAGGATGTTGATTAATTCTGTGCACCTAAGAGCCAAAGCAGAGTTGGGGGGAGGCTCTGACTTCCTGGACCCCCCAGCTTGGAGGGGAGGGCAGAGTGGATGAGTTCAGTTCTGGGTACCTAGAAAGGAAGGAGCCTCCTCATGCCCTCCAGGGCTCTTACTATGCATAGGTAAACCGAGGCAAGGGGAGACCAGAGAGAGGCCAGACCAAAGTCAGAAGCCCTCCATCCCCACCCTGAGCTATCTTTGATGTTGGAGGGACAGTGTTTATTTTGCACCCAGGCAAGGGCATGAAATTATGTTAAAGGAATAACTTTTCCACACTCCCGTGGGGCGGACCTTAAACAGCTAAGCAAGGAAGGCCACAGAAAATCTCAAGAACGTGGCAGGAGTGGGTCCAGGAGGGACAGCTGTCACTTAGAGCTAGCCTAAGCAGGGCATGGTGGACCTGAAGAGACCTCAGAACCCATCCCCTGCTCCTATAGGAGAGTGACTAATGTGCCCACAGCCCCACAACCAGAGCAAAGACAGCAGGGGAGATGGGCAGCCCCGCCCGGAAGTAGATGTCTAGAAGACGACATCCAGCCCCAGTGTCTTACTTCTGTGGCACTCTGGGGGAGGGGGAACGTTGGGAGAGAGACAGTGGAACTTTAGACTCATTCCATCATGAATCTGACCTTTTGTACCTCCAAGGGTGTGAGGTGGGACCCAGGCCTGCTCCATGTCTGCCTGTAGCCACCAGACCAGACAGTTTCATCCCATCCTGCCCCCTCTCCTTGCCCTTGGCTCTCCAGTTCCACGCTCATCCTTTCTAGCAGCTGCGCCCCTCCCCTCCCACTCCCTCTCCTCTCTCTGATACTTTGCTCTCTGTCTGTTCAGACCCTTCCCTCTAGGCCCCTGCCTTCAGGCCCTTGGAGTTAACAGGCCTCAGTCACTGGTATCAAATGACCCTGAGTTGGGGCCTCTGTATTTTTAACCCACCAGACACCTGAAGCTCCTGCTACTGAAACCCGAGGAGCTGGCCCCTCCACACTCCCCCTCCCCACCTCACTCCCACACACCCTGGCCCCTCTGTCTTCCAGGGTCTTGTTCAGCCGTGTCAGCAGCCAGGGAAAGACCCCAGACTGATATAGCCCTGTCCCTAGGAGACCTTGTGTTAGAGGAGGGAGGGGGACAGGCGGGAGAGAGACCTCTGAGGAGGGGCCTGATGTAGGGGAGGCGTGCTTGGCTATACCTTACAGTGACCTTCTCTTTGACAGCCCAGACTGTCCATGGTGGCCCTTCCTCCATCATTGTCCTATTTTTCATTTTGTATTTGTATATTTTTGGCCCAGCACTCACTGTAAGACCAGTCTGAAAAGTGATGAAAGGCACAAGCTCTGGAACCAGACAGACCTTGGTTTCCTCATCTATAAAATGTGGGGGAGGGGGTTAAGAATACATTTGTTGTGTGGATTAATGGATGGTGTGTGTAAGGCCCCTGTCCCTCTGCCAAGCATAGCACACGGTCACTTAACACTTGTGCTTTGTTTTTGGTGACAGTCTACGATCTCCCCCAGCTTTCCTCAATGTTTCTCTCTCACTCTGTATACTTTTGGGCACAACCAATCCTCTCCTCTAAAAGAGAATGAACTGACCCACAGGGCATAGTGGACAGGCTCACAAAGCAAAAGACAGGGAGTGAGTGAAGAGGAAGGAAGAGCCACCGCCCAGGGTGGGCAGGAGACTCCTGGGGCTCCTCACCCACCGGAGATGCGCAAAGTGCTGAGCTCCGAGAACAGGCTTTTGGGAATGTCCATCACTCCTTGTGGAGCCTGGGGCACGAGGGGTCGGGTTGCTTCACCTAAAGTAGAGGCTACAGGGATTCAGAAAGCATTCTTACAGCCTATATTTCAAAGCTACTCCTGAGAAAACAGGCTGATGAATGGGAATGGGGTTGAGATGCCCCAATGACAGGGGGCGGAGGGCAGGGACCACCAGTCCCTTCCTCAGAGGAGGTGCTGTAGCCCCACATTTACCACTCACCACATGACCCTTCCCAAGTCATTTAACCTCTCTGGACCTAAGGTTCTTAATTGATAAAATAAGGTCTCTCTAGCACTAAAACTCTATGATTCTATAAGCTGATCTGAGGAACTGCGGTGGAGGGGGCTAGATGAGTAGCCTCTGACAGCACCAGGTGTGGGTGCTGTGGCCCCTCTATAGGGTGTGGCTCAGCTGCTCCTCTCTCACAACACCCCTCCCCCCTCCACTTCTCTGATCCCAGCTTGACTTTGGGGGCAGTCACTTGTCCTGTCTTTGCTCTCCATCAGGTCGGAGAATGACTTTAAGATGAGGGATAGCCCTCAAGGGGCAAAGATGCTTGATTCTGATCCCTTCCCAGCCTCAACTTCAGACCCTGAAAGACTTCCCCTGCCTGATTACCATGAAGATCTAGGGAGAGAGCGTCACAGAAATCCCCACTCTCCAAAAATCAGATGCGACACATCCAGCCAGGTGAGAGCTGTTGCCAACATTTACTCTGTAGACTGGCTACTAGATTCAACAGGACAACGCCCCTCCTCACTGGGCTCTAGCCAGACACAGGCCGGGCTTCCCCTCAACCCACCCGGTCTCCTCCCCATGGTGCCCTCATTCCAGCGTCAGGATCACCTGTCTCCCTCTCATCCGAGGTAATTCATCCTAGCATCTCTCTGCCCCAACTCATACGCTCTCTAAATGTTGTGCCAAACTCAAAAACCCTCCCCCCTACCCGGCCCTCAGGACACCCCTAAGTCATGTGGAGCTCTTCCTCCGCTGATTTTAGTAGTAGGTCTCTCTCTCCAGCCAGCCTGTGGAAGAGAAGAGAGCAGAGTGAGCCAGAGAAGGCAGCACAGGGGAGGCATCTAGGGAAGACAGGCAGAATGGTAGACAGAGGAGGCCTGAGGGCGGAACACAAGGCACCGAGGATTGGAAGGAGCAGGGTGATGGAATCAGGACTAGAGGGCCGGGGTCCAGGCTCAGCACAGGCCAGGCAGTGAGGTGGGGAGAAGGGCAACGGGCCTGAAGGAACCAAGTGGGATGGGAGAGCCAGTTAGGAGGCTGCTGACCACTCAGAGCAGGGTGCAGGGGAGCCTCACCGCCAGGATGATTACGGATGGCAAATTTTCTGACTTCATCATAGATAAAGATAAGAATGCTGTAGGGAATGGCACAAAGCCACCAGAATATCCTGTAGAGCAAGAGTTTGATCAGCTGGGCAGGAGATAGAGGGGCCAGAGAAGGGCAGGGGCAGAGAACAGCACTTGGGAATTGAACGGTTCGTTTATCATGTCCACTATGTGCCGGGGACTGTGCTGGGTGCTGGAGACAGCAAGGTGCGTAGATGGGGTTGACCTCTACCTTTGAGGAGGCCAGAACGTGGGGGATGGGGGTGAGGGAGGAGAAGCCCAAGACAGAAACATAAAGAGACAATGATAGCAGACGTGATAAATGCCACAGCAGAGGTACATGCAGTGTTCAGGGAGGTTGTCTACTGTCTTTTGTGTAGTCGTTCAGGGAGACCCCTTTGCTTTCTGGGGACTCTAGGCCTTGCGCACAAAAGGGGAGGGTGTCCAAGCAGGATGGCTCAACCTGAGGCTGCATGTGTGGGGATATACACTCCTCCATAGGCAAAGATGGGGACATTTTTCTTCCTGAACCTCTTCTATAATTAGAGACCAGGAAGGTGGGCTCTGGGGAGGGATTGAATAGAACCACATTTGTTCTCTTGGATGACAGAGAGATGGCCTAGACCAGCAGTGTCCAACAGAAATATGTTGCGAGCCACATGTGAAATCTGATATTTTCTAGTAGCCACAGTAAAATAAGTAAAAAGCAGCAGGTGCAATTAATTTTAATAATGCTTTTTATTTAACCCAATATGTCTAAAATATTATCATTTTAACATGTAATCAATATGAATGTTATTAATGAGATATTTTACATTCTTCTTTTTATCCTAAGTTCTCAAAATCTGGTGAGTATTTTACATGGACAGCACATCTCAAGTCATACACTGAATTTTCAATGGTTAAAAGAAAATGTAGTCCAATGAAAACAATAAAGTTGTACTTCCTAGAAAAATATTTGACACTGCTTTAGTCTTTAACTTTAAATTAACTAAAATTACAAATTCAGTTTCTCCCTGGCCATGTTTCAAGAGCTCAGTAGTCACATAAGAGTAGTTTACAGCTACCATATTGGACAGCGCAGGCCTAGGCCGTGGTTCATTCCATACGCACACACACGTACACACCAACAAACATAAACACTTATATACATACAGTCACCCATTCATTCAACAATTGTGGTATGTCTACTCTGTGTCCATGTTAGGTCCTGAGGAAATAAAAATGATGACATGATGGTCCTTGATCTCAAGGAGCTCGGGCAATCAGGGAAGACAGGATAGATAAACACACAAAATAATCACCATATTAATAATCACAATATTAGGTGATGAGTCTTATGGTCAAGGTATATACAGAGTGGGAGCGCACTTAATGCTCAATTGCATTTACTATTACTAATATATTGACGTTAATAGCAGCAGTAATAAAGCTACTATTAACAAAGCTCCCACTATGACCCAAGCACTGTCCTGGGTGCATTACACGCATTTCTAGATCTAATTCTTGCAGCCATCTGCCAAGGGTGTATTATGAAGACTTCGCAGGTGAAGCTTAGGCTCAGAATGGTTATAAACTTGTTCAAGGTCACAGAATAATACACAGTACAGTTGAAATTCAAACCTGGGATTGTCAGTATCTAAGGGCAATGCCAATGTCTTTTTAGTAAATATTAACTGAGCACCTACACTATACAAAGCATTGTGTAAAACACTGCAAGGGATAGAAAGGTAAGCAAAGTATGTAAACGTATAGAAAACGAGTTGGAAGAATACACACTAAATCATTAACAGAGGTTCCCTATGCAGGAGGAGGTAGAGAGAGTCAGAGTGGAATGGGAGTTTTACTTTTTTCTCTGTAAAATATTAAAGAGCAATTTTTCACCACATGCATAGACTAAAGTAAAAAACAAAAACAAACAAAAAGAAAACATGGGACTTAAACAAAACAAAGTACCAGATGAAAAGAATTTCATTATGCCCACTCATATATATGCACATTAAGACATATTTACGTAAGTACAACAGAATTAGCCACGCACAGATCAGGCTATTTTTATGATTACTTCACTTCCGAGCAATATGTATCCTTGGACAGCTACACTACACATCATCATAAAAAAGATGACACTCTTTTAAGCACTGGTAAGTCTGCTAAATTTGCATGTCTGGTGGGTTGCGATCACTTGGCACAGCCCCTAATCCTTTGCTAAATAAGATGCATTTGTCAGAGCACAAATAAGTCTCCTTACACCACTGAGTACAGCCCCATTTATCCAGGCAAGACCCCTCCCCAACCCTCCACGAGTGACTTTTCTGTTCAAACACACGTTTCCTCTCACACGCTCTCCCTATGCCCAGAGATTCTCCCACCTGCATCCCTTCCCTTACTCACTTGAGTGGGTACATTCTCAGGGCCATGTCCATGCCTGGAGTGTAGCACAGAAAAGCAGCCAGGAATGTCTCCTCCAGTATCCCAAATATGAGGATCTTGTTTCTGGGAAGAAATGTTTCAGAGTGTGTTGGAGACAGGGATGGAGAGGTAGGGGAAATGGCGGGGCCCTGCGTGCAGGTGTGGGAGTGTGTGGGGCTGTTGGGTGGGTGCTCACTTCATGCCCTGCTGGAAGACCGAGTTGCGCCGGGTCTTGCAGATGATGAGGTCGGCCCACTGCACAATCACGATGCTGACAAAGAAGCCTGTTTGGCATGTGAACTCCAAAATCTTCCGCTGCTCAAATGTCTGCAGGAAGGGTGGGCAGAGGGGAGACGTCAGTGTCAGAAGGGATTCAGATACATCTTAAAAGCTTCTTTCCTGTCCTGCCTTCCTGGACCCCATGCTGACTTAGATCTTTAGACACCCACAGCACTTCTCACTTATCTCAGTCTTAGCACTTATCCTGTTGCATTATGAGTTGTTTATCTGTTTTCCTTACCTGACGGAGAGCTCCTCAGGAAGAGGCAGTTTGTCTTATTTATCTTTGTGCCCCCTCCCCATTGCTCAGTTCAAGTGCTATGGTTCAATAAATATTTGCTAAATTAATAAGAAGGGCAATGTAAGAGAAGAAGGTGTACTCAGAAAGCAGAGTCAGAGGAAATAGGTGAGAAAGGAAGATGGGGCCAGAGGGGACTCTGAAAGCTGAGAGGAAAGGAATGCCCAAAGGGTGGTACCAGATAGGAGATATTCATTCGTCCATTCCTTCAGTCTTTCACTCCCATTTTACACATAAGGATCTTACAGTCTAGTGGGGAGGATAAATATGCTATGTCAGCACTGTAGGTAGGATATAAGACAGAGATCACAGAGGGCTAACACAGAAGAGGTGCATCTAAATCAGATGGGAGAAAAAGCCATGTTTCAAAAAATAACGCAGCATGTTTATAAGTAACTTGTAGATCAAGTAAAGAATTTGAAAATATGTAGGACTGAACAATAATGGAATACTACATATTGAACCTCATGGGGTACGGTCAAAACTGGACTTGGAGGAAAATATAGAACCTTAGATGATTAGAAAACAAAGGCTGAAAACTGATGAGCCAAGCACTGAACTGAGAGTGAGACCAATGAGCGGGTTTGTGTGCATCGGATCATGCCACCTCGATCCTCCACTGCAGCCAGCTAGCAATACCCGAGTCACCCCCAGCACCACTTGAAGACGTTAGCTCCTGACTCACTGTCACTCTAACTCTGCTCCTGTTCTTGTTTTTGGAGATTTAAATATCCATAGTGATGATCCTTCCAATACCATGGTCTCACAGTTCCTTGATCTTCTCCAATGACGTCGTCTTCCACTCCCCACCTGGGCTGCTTTCTCCAGTGGTTAAACAGACACTGTCCTTTCTAATAGCTACAACTTCTCTGTAATTTCAATTTCAAGCATCTCTTTCTCTCTGACCACCATCTTTATCTTTCCATCTTACCTACTCTAGTATCTCGATCCCAACACTTCATAGTCCGTTGACCCAATATGTTATATATTTGGTTGTTATCTGTCTCCCCACCCACGACCTTCCCCCTAACTAGAGTATAAGTTCTATGAGAGCAGTAACTTGGTCATTTTTGTTCACTACCGTATCCCCAGAGCCCAAACAGCACCTGGTACATAGAAGATGCTTGACAAATATTTGCTGAATGAATGAATGAATGAATGAGTGGTGATCAATGGAATTACTGGTGACAGACATTTAGAAGGTAAGGAGCTATCTTTGCTTCTAGTAGTATGTAGAGTATTTCCTGGGTGGGTGGCTCTATACTCGATTATCTGAAAATGACAGCAGTGGAAGAGGCATAGACCCTGCCTTTATGGAATTGCCTCAGGGCAATTTTTCTCAACCCTTTTGCAATACTTCAAGATGTCTTTGATGTAATTTGATGTTACTTCAAATTAATTTTAATTATCTTTAATTTGTTATAAATAAATATATGTCAAGTTGCACCTTGGCAACAGGGGAATGGTATCAAGATATAAAACCAACAAGGGCTTGAGTTGAGGATTGAGGAGATGTTGACGGGGCACAACGATGAGGACTCTGGGCATCACTGGACCGTGGAGCAGTGTTGGTAGCTGGGAACACTGACATCTGATGGCCTCATGAGGCTTGGCTGGTGGAAGCCAGGTGTGTATGAGGGGCATTTTCCCAACAACACAGATTTTAACATACTTTTGAGAAACCTGAAATTAACTTGGTTTAGAGGCATCATGATAAAGTAGGAGAGTGCTGGGCAGGAAAGTAGAATTCTGAGTCCAAAATTCTAGTCCAGTTCTTCTAAGAATTCACTATGGGACTTTGAGCAAGCATTAAGTCTTTCCAGACTCAGCTTCCTCATTTATAGAATGATGATAATAAACTGTATGTCCTGTATAGACTATGTGTCCTCTATGGTCCTATAATTCTAACAAACATCTTCCACTGTCTTAGAAATTAGGACAGGAGTGTTTAAAGGTACAAAAAACCATACTTACTAAAATTCTTGAACACATAGCGTCAGTTAGAAGGCTTCAGTTTGGGTCTCATTCATCTTGGGTTTTAGGAAAGACTACTACAGAGAGGCATCCTCTAGGTTTAAAAAGTTTAGAATGACGAGGAAGGGGTATACAAAGAAAAGTTTTCAGATTTGAAGTCATATTATTTGAACTCCCATGGAGGGAAGGAGCGTAATGGGAGAGAGTGGACCCAGCACTTATTTCTGAAGCAATGATGGTTAGAACCTAGAAAAACAGAAATTAGCCCCCAGAATTTGATATGACAAAGAAGACTTCCAGCCCATGGAAGCCAAAATATCCAGGAAGGTAAGGACAGACAACAGACAGTAGGAATGAATAGAAATGAAGTCATTGCAATCAAAGAGAACACTTGCTGACGTGATTGGACATTGAGGTCAAATGTTAGAATGCTCATATAGAACTGGAGATGAGGCATCAACTCTGTCTGGTGCCTCCATTCTCCCACTTTTCAAAAATTTCCTAAACCCACTCCCCTGTCACTTCTTCACTCTTATTGATCACTATCTACTACCCTACCCCTTTTACTCACCCACTGCTGTCCATAGCTGTCCTCCAGGTCATTGACGTATGAATTTTCCCAGTCGTGGCGGATGCCCAGCAGATCAGCAGGCTTAAAACCATTCTCAGCCAGGATCACAAAATAGGTGAAGAATCCAGCCAGAGCCTGGATCATCCCTGTGACAGAGTTACAGGACACGGGAACCTGGTTTAGAGAAGGACCTCAAAAAGCAGAGCATAGAAGGGGTGGTGGCTGGGACTTGCTTCTAGCTGCGTTGGTGTGTGTCTGAGCTGTAATGCTGAAGATTCTTGCCATCAATGATCTGATCCTGTCATCTCTGTAGGACTTGCCTCCAAGCCCTGACATTTGTTTCTAAGCTCTAAGCCAGAGTCACATTTGAATCATATAATCTTAAGATTGGAAAAGATCTTAGAGGCGATTTTATTCCCTCTCCCCATTGAGTGAGTGCTGGGCTCCTCCCTCTCCATTTCCTCTGACATTAGGACACTCATTAAGTCCTCTCCTCTCCTCACATCTCTGCCATCTACCCCTTGCCTCTCTGTTAGTCGAAACGTCTATCCTCCATGCCTGGACCACAGTGATAGCTGACGTTAATGTTTGTCTACTAACAACAGAGCTGTGCACTGTGTAGGTAACTGTGGACAATGATCCCCATAACAGGTATGAACTTTTATCTACATTTCATAAGTGGGAAAATTGAAGCACAAAGAAGATTCAGTCGTCATGTAGGGTCATATAGGTAGTCAGTGGTGAATCAGGATTCGAACGTAGGATTGGCTCCTAAATCTGTGCTTTTACTATGTATTTCCTCCTCTAGATATTGGGATGGTCTCCCCTGTCCCCAATCTCTTCCCTGTCCATCCCTCACCTTACTTCCTGAAATATCCCATTGCACCTGGCAACTCAAGAACAAAGACCTCTAATGGCTCTCACATGTTTTTCAAGGCTGGCCCAGTATAAATGTTACGTGTATCTACAGCCTTAATTTCCACTATTCCTTTATCAGGAATAAGGGCTCCACCAAACTGGCTTATTCCCTCTTCAACATCCAGGCCGTGTGACTTTCCCCTCTCCTCTGGTCCCCGATACCTGACCATACATTTACTAGTCTAAACTGTATCTTCCAAAACCAAGTTTAAGTCCTGTTTCCTCCATAAGGCCTCTCTCACTAGCTTCGTGATTGGTGAGACCCCTTGCTTTGTACTCCTGAAGCATGTCCTCTCTATACTCATTATTTGGCACTTGGAAAGATGCTATCATTTTATGTCTGTTTGTTCCTTCTTGACTGCACTCTTAAGTCAAGGGCAGATCAGAAATCAATGGTTCTTTGTTGTCCCAGGGCCTAGCACAGTTTAAGAAAATATCTTCCTGACTTGCAAACCAAGATGGCTCCAATGGCCAGGCAGGGGCAGCCACTCCCCACTCCCTTCACCCCTCATTCCTCTGGCCGCACCAATCTGTCCATAGGCCATGCCGATGAGACGATAGTTCACCAGTTTATCATTCTTTGGATCCCGTGGAGCCCTCTTCATGATGTCACTTTCAGCTGACTCATAAGCTAAGGAGATAGCAGGGACCTGGAGGATGGAAGGCGAGAGTGACAGGGGACACAAAGTTCAGAAGGAAACTCAGAAGTAACTCAAGCTCTGTCCCTCTCCTTGGACACAGGATTTTTCTACTCCTCAGTGCATCTCACAGGAGCTCCATGAACCGGGTCCCAGTTTGGTTCTCACCATGTCGGTGCCCAGGTCAATGCAGAGGATGGTTATGGTGCCCAGAGGCAGGGGGATACCGAGGATGATGAAGAGCAGGAAGGGGGTGATCTCGGGGATGTTGCTGGTCAGGGTGTACGCGATGGATTTCTTCAGGTTGTCAAAGATGAGGCGGCCTGGGGGGATGGTCAAGCTTCAGTGAGACCATTTCTGTATCTGTCTCCTGGACAGAGAGACTACTATAAAGCAGTGTCACAGTCCATGAAAGGATCTGTAGGTCCGAAACCTTGGCGGTCCCAGTTTTGTTTCTAAATTATGTGACTATTAATTAAAGCCATGCTTTATGAGGATTCCTTATCTGTGTACTCTTTGTCCTTGGATTCAACATGGCTAATGTCATCTGATCTCTGAAAACTAAGCAGGGTTGGGCCTGGTTAATACTTGGGGATGTCTGAGAACGTTGACATAAAAGCCATTAGAAGATTAAGGCTGACATGGAAAGAGCCTGGGCTTGGGTTCTAATTCCATTTCTGCCATAACTAGCTTCTGACCTTGGGCGCCCCTCACCTCTCTGAGTGTCATTCCTCTTGCCTTGCAAGATGGCTTAAGTCCTTCCCTGGTGACCCTTTCAAAAACCGTAATCCCTCACTGCACTCGTTGCTTTATTTTTTCCCCACTGTATTTATCACCTTTTAATATGCCATACAATTTACCTCATTGTCTGTCACACTCCACTAGAAATTAAGCTACATGAGGGCAGGGATTTGTGTCTTTTTATCCCCCACTGTTATATCCCCAGCATCTAGAAGAGTGCCTGATACAAAGTTGGTGCTCAAAAAATTGAATGGGTACAAAATACTCAGCAAAGTGTCAGGATCATACTAGGTCTCAATAAAATGGTAGCTACTATTATTATGTGAATTGTCCTAGGTTTTAATAAGATAGCAACAGGCAGAAAGCAGGGAGCCTGGGATGCAGAATTCTGGGGTTCTCCTATTCACCAATGGACATTGTCTTCAGAATTCTCTGGGAAAGAGGATGTTTAATTGGGCTCATGCAGTCAATTCATAGGTCAGGCTCCAACTGATCTTGATATGTCAACATCATTCAGGCAACAGGTTCCTAGGGGGCCCTCCTGAGATTGTGGAGTATGGAGTAGTTCCAGGGGTATGGCTACATCTTGGAACTTGCTGTAGACCTACTTGAATCTCTGCGAAGAAGTAGGAAGATACCATGCTATACCACAGTCCCAGTCTCCCTCACAAATCTGGACTTTCCTCCAGTCTCATAATAAAGGGCTCCTGAAAGTGATGTTCTAAGTACCAAATGAATCTAATTTGTAAAAATTTGTCTTACAGTGATTTTTCCCAGTCTGTACAGGACCATGGAGGTTGGATGATGGGCAAAAGGAATGAGAGTAATATATACCAACTTTCGCCTGAGTCTGAAGTAGTCCCAACCCTGGGCACCCTGTTTCCTCACCCTCCTCCACGCCTGTGACAATGGAAGCAAAGTTGTCGTCCAGCAGGATCATGTCTGCTGCCTGCTTAGATACGTCAGAACCAGTGATGCCCATGGCAATGCCAATGTCAGCTTTCTTCAGTGCTGGGGAGTCATTCACGCCATCACCAGTCGCCGCCACAACGTTTCCCTGGGTGAAGCACAGAGGGAGTGAAATAATTATTGTGTCAGATTCAGGACCAGTCCCAAAGATCAATTTGATTTCATCATCCCCTGTTTCTTGATGTAATCATGCTTGATTTGGGCCTCTTGGCCCTTCCTTCACCTGCTCCTCCTGAGATATTAAAACTCTCAGGGAGCCCCCAAACTGATGTCCATCTCAGGAGTTTGAGATGGGATGTTCTCTGCAGGCTCTTCTAGCCCAGCCCACATGTTCCTCTGCTTGATTTGGGGCTGGGCTATGCCACATGATTTCTGCCAGATTCCTCGAGCCTCCTTTTTCTCCCTTACCTGCCTCTGACATCCCTCTACGATTATGAGTTTCTGCTGAGGGGAGGTTCTAGCAAACACAATCTCAGTGTAGTTTCGGAGAATCTCATCAAGCTGCGCTGAGCTCATATCCTTTAGGTCTGAGCCGTGCACCACAATGGCTTTGACATCCCTGGGGGGAAAAGAATTTCAGAAAGCTAGTTCAGAGTGTTGAGAATTTACCAGGGGCCCTGGTGCCCTCTAACCAACCTTTACTATAACCTCCTTATTTCTCTTTCAACTCAATCTCATCACTTGTCCCCAGCCATTCACTGTCCCCAGATTGACACATTGCATCTCCTCCCTTTTCTCCCAACCACTCCTCCCTTTTCTCTACCTCTTTCTTTGTCCAACTTCCTCTGAAAATCCACTGACATGGTCACTTGGTCATTTTCCTATTATGTTTTACTTTGCAATAAGTAAACCCTGCACATACTACCTACTAAAGGAGGCTCTAAGAACTTTAGTAAGTGGGATCTAGGTGGGGCAGGCTGAGAGGATGGAGGAAAAAAATGGCAGATCTGAGTCTTTTAGGGCTCTCACCTGCTATCGATCTGCCTGACATGGACCTTGAGCTGGGCAGTAGTGTCCTCTGCAGTCTCGGTGCCTTCTGAAATGATGCCCACACCCTTGGCAATGGCCTTGGCTGTAATGGGATGATCCCCTGTTACCATAATCACCTGAATTGGGAGAGGAGGGAAGAGGAGCAGAATCATCTTCAGGGAGGTGCCTGGAGCCTTCACCATTCTAAGAACTAACAGATCACTGCTTCCATTCCACAGGGTTTTAGTAGCTCATTCCCAAGAACTTGTGCTATAGATAAAAAATCTCGCTACTGTGGCTTTAACCCTCTAGAGTGGGTCAGGACCAACAGACCATAAAACACAGGACAGTTTGGGTTCTATGCTTCCCAGGAATACATCAGGGATTTGGGTGTTTTACTATATTTAGAATTTTGTTTAATTGCTCTAGAAGTTATTCTGCTGCTTTAAGCTCAAAGACAGAAACACCTACACATGGAACAAGTGGTAATAAAGGAACGTCTGGAATAATCCATCTGCCTAGCAAAATTTCATCTAGGTCCAGGTGCATTCTGGTTCTCATTCTTCCTCTCATCTTCCACTGTCCCCCTGCAGCCTCTGGGTTCCAGCCATTTTTTGGATACCTGGACCAGCCCTAGTCTGGTCCCATTCCTCCCCAAAGATCAGGGGCCTGAGCTCTCTGCTTCCCTAGCATTCTGTTCTTTCTGTATTTCTGCACTTGTCACTTCTCGATATGGTGATGGCTTGTCTGTCTCTCTCCCCTACTGGACTGTGAGCTCCCCAGGAATGTGGCCACGTCTCTGATTCCTTGTTAAGTTTCCTGCCCTTGCACAATGCCTAGCACATAGTAATCCATCAACAAACAATTATCAAACGAAGGAATGATGGCTTCCTGGGAACCACTGCCCATGGTTCCCACTGCCCTCCCAGCACACAATTTTGCAGTCTCTGATGGGAGGAAAAAGGAAACTATGTGACCATGACCTAACTATCCAACTGCTTGCAGGAGCAGAGGCCCTGAAAAGGTCAGTCTGTTTACTTTTAGAGCATGGAAGTGAGCCTTGAAGGAGTTTTCCTGTGAGCCCTCATCATTCCGCACTGGCACCCCTGGCGTACTGGAAGAAGACAACTAAGCTGAGATTCCCAGAGACTCAGGAAAGTCCCACTATGAGCTGTTACCCACACCACTGATTTTGAGGATCCTGGTTCAACTTCAGGGCACTGGATCCTCACCAAGCTTGGCCTGTGGGGCACAGGGTAACTGGTTAGGATCTGGGAGGGAACTGCATATAAGGTTAGAAGATTCCCGATATGATTCAGACTGAGCCCTCAGTGATGCCTTTCAGGTTCGCAGTGCCCTGACAGCTTCCCAGTGGCTCATCAAAGTGACCTGGGACCTGTAGGACAGGTATGGTATCATCCTGATACATTCCTGGTACCTAGCCCAGTTTGACTATTCAAATGTCCTGTTCTATCGTAGTTTCTGGAAGTACCACCTCCATGCTGGGCTGGAGAAATAAAAACACAAAGTCAATCACCCCGGGAGTGAGTTCCTAGGACCCAATTTCACAGAGCATTGAGATGCATGCATACAATAGAAGCGTAGTTCCACAGAGAATGGCTCCCTTTGAAGTAAAGGGCATCTGGTAGTTTCTGGAATTCATCAAATACTAAAGGAATTTCATTTCCAGCTTCTTGGTGCTGACTATACCTCTGATGTTCCCACGCAGCCTTGCAAGCTGCTCTCTTGTTCCCTTGTACCCGCTTCCCCCAGCTCGGACCCATCTGAGAGAAACGTTCCAGTGTTGGTGACATTACTGTAGGCCCTCACTGCTTGACTGCAAGAACTGACTGCAGTTCTTAAAGGAGGCCAGCTTCACAGCAGGGGCCAAGTATCTTCATACTGCTGAGAGCCTCAGTTAGTGGCAAATATAATGGGCTCATTTTATTTTAGTTTTTTTTTTTTAAGATTGGCACCTGAGCTAACAATTGTGGCCAATCTTCTTTTTTTCTTTTCCTGCTTTTTCTGCCCAAATCTCCACCATACATAGTTGCATATTTTTTCAGTTGTGGGTCCTTCTAGTTGTGGCATGTGGGATGCCGCCTCAGCATGGCCTGATGAGTGATGTCCACGCCCAGGATTCGAATGGGCGAAACCCTGGGCTGCCAAAGCAGAGTGTACGAACTTAACCGCTTGGCCACAGGGCCGGCCCTTATTTTAGTTTATTAAAATCACATTTCTTCCAAAGGCCTGAGCACATGGCTCTACCTGGGAAATCCCAGTCCCACACTCATTCCCTTCTAAAAACTTTGCTACCATGCAATCATTATCTGACGTCTTTAAGCAGCCTTGTAACATTTGTCAGTTCTGCATCAACACCATTTTGGAGCTGACCCTGGAAGAGTCTACCCTATGGGACAACACCATGTATGTTCATTACAGTTTGTCCTCCTTGAAGGATGGCATCATGTGTATGTCCTACACTTCCCTATAGGGAAAAAGTGATGATTCAAACTTCCTCACCAAGTCTGCCAAATTTCTGTCAGCTTAGAGTCCAGAAGAAGTAAGAAATTATAATGAGACCTGTAAACCTATAACCAGAACAAGGACTGGCCCAGAAAGCACTGAGACCTCCTGCTTCAGCTGCCAGCTTGAGGCCAGCAGCGAGTGTCCTCCTCAGACTACCATGGGCTCACTCTGCCTCAGGCTGTGATGACATCCTGATCTGGTAACCATCCTGGCTAAAATCACCCTCTCATCTCTGTTTGGACCTCCCTACCTGTAGGCATAATTGTAACTCTCTTCTTGCTAATGGGATCCATAAATTCTCAGATGAAAAATTTTAGACTACACCCACAATGTTATTCTCCATTCTAAGAGCACACCTCAAAGCTCAGAAAATTCACATGAACCCCTTCTCCACTGATGACCCACAATATGATGTGGTAGCTTATAGAACCATGGGGCAATATCAAGATAACTTGGTTATCCTACACAGATATGTTACAATAATGCTTCTCTGTAAAGAACTATACCACCCCAAACATCTTATAGTAATTAAGGAATTCACTCAGAATAATATCCTACATCTATTCCTTGGTTCCCACTCTACTGACTAATCATTAAACTTAGCGAGCCCCAGGCTGCCCCCAGACAAACTGCCAAAACTCAAAAGTCTAAGATAAATCTAGCTCTAACAGATAGCATCTAGTTCTCCTTAAATACCTCCAACACCCGCCCCTCAACCTGCCCTCCCCCAAGTCCAGGATCCAGAATATCAGGTATGAGCAGGGAAGGTGTCAATATCTAATCTATGAAGATGTATATGCGTCTTAGACTCTGACCTGGGAAACGTGGGTTATGGAACATCTCAGAATTAGAGGAATTCTGCTGCTATCCCGTGAAGTCCAAGGCCCACCCAGACCAAAGAGGAATCCCCACCTCTGAGCTTGTTCTGCAGCTGTGTTCACTCTTGGACCAGTTCATTTGGTTTTTAGCTTTTACTCCTGGACATATACTGGTTAGTGCAGTTGCTCACTCCCGTCAGATCCATTGAGGGCCCCCAGCTCTCAATATTTCATTCTCACTATTGCCTGCTCCAGACCCCCGGCCCACTTGGCCTCACCCTTTCTACAACCCATCCCAGCAGCACATTCACATGATATCTTCTAGCACTTTGCTACTCCTAGTGTGGTCTGCAGACCAACAGCAAGAGCATCACCTGGGAGCTTGTTAGAAATGCAGAATCTCAGGGTGTCCTAGACATACTGAATCAAGATTTGCATTCCAACAAAACCCCTAGGTGATTCACAGTGTCCTAGGACACTGGTTCTCAAACTTGTCTGCATGTTGGAACCTCTAGGAAAGTTGTTAGAAATACAGATGCCTGGGTGCCACCTTGAGAGTTTCTAATTTAATGGGTCTCAGTGTGGCCTAGGCATCAGATTTTTAAAGCTCCCCTGGTGATTCTCACGTTCAATGCAGGACAGGATTCTGACTATAAAGGAAACTTACTATGAGATTCTCTCTTGAGGCTAAAAATTATAAGCTCAAGGAAACAGAAATCAATTCAATTAGACCAAGATTATTAAGAAGCTACTCTGTGCGAGGCTTTCTACTGTTGCTCCAATTTGTGAGTTTCTGGGATGGTCAAGTTTACCTTAATCCCTGCACTACGACACTTGCACACAGCCTCAGGCACGGCAGGTCGGGGAGGGTCAATCATGGATATGAGCCCCACAAAACAAAAGTTTTCCATGGGAAAATTGACTTCATCTGTATTAAACTTGAATCCCTTGGAGAAGGTATTAGGCAGATTCAAGAAGCAGAACCCTGGAGAGAAACAGAAGGAGGGACCAGTAGTCACTCAGCTATGTCCCTATCCTGTTCACCCCAACATCCTAGATTTTTCACCCCACGGACAACGGCATTCTTTCAAGGCTTCTCCCACAGCCCCTCACCTAGCACGCGTTCCCCCAGACCTCCTAGTTCCAAGTAAGCATTTTGGAAGGCTTCTTTCATTTCCTCGTCCATTGAATACTCCTGCCCATTCAGAAGATAACTAGAGCAAAACGCCAAAATCCTCTCAGGAGCCCCCTTCATCAAGAGCACGTGGGTCTGGGAGCTGTCCTCCCGCAGGTGGATGGATATCTAGGAGAGGAGAGGAAGCATCAATGGAACAGGAGAGAGCAAGGGGCAGGGACAAAAAGCACGGGAAAGGTCTTTGAGGGTAAAACCGACAGGCAACCTGTTTCATACCCTCCACCTCCTTGATCCCCTCACCCCAACAGAGTCCCCCCACCCCCAGGCGAATCTGACCCACTGTTGAGCCCTCCTCCTTCCCAGGAAACCCCAGCCTGGTATTTGCACTCAAATCTCTCTTATCTTCTCAGCCAGAATGGAAGCTGAGGGCAGAGCCAGGCTCTTTCTTTCCCTGCTTCCTCTGCCTGGATGGCTCCAGAGCAGCAGGAGTGGGGCTGGCAAAGACAGCTGAGTAGACAGGAAAGAAAAAAATGTCATGTTCTAGGGCCACCAGGAATGCCTTATAGCTTTATGATCTCAGGTCAGTCCATTTAATCTCTCAAAACCTTAGTTGCTTTGATAAAACATAGACGGTCTGTGTTGCTTAATTCATTGGGTTTTTATCAGACACAATATTTGTAAAAGAAACTTTGAAAACTCTGAAGCACAATTCAAACATAGGTTAGTCATTCTAGTCCCCTTGCCACTCTCTTCTAAAAGCCGTAGGGAGTGAAAGTAGCCAGTGGGATTTTCTTGGCGCCTCCCCCAAGCAAGCCCGGCCAGAGCCAGTGGCTGGTGGGCTGGCCAGCAAACTGGGTGGACCACAGAGGAAGATTTTACCATTTCAACTTGATACTCAATAGCTCAGAAAAGGCACTAATGTAGTCATTTTGAGGAAAGTTGCTATTTTGTTGGACGTCCCAACAAATGTCGTGGATGTGTTTTGCTTTAATTTTGAATCATGTGGAGGGAGAAGTAGCTAATTCTTTCCAGTCAAAAGCTTTAATCGGGCCCTGCCAAGCACAAAATTCCTGTCTGGTTAGGGAGGCCACTAAACATCAGAAAAAGTGGAAAGAAGTTTGCAGTGTGGGCTTAGGAGGCCTATCTTATTACACTGACTGAAAGCCAGTTGAGACAAAAAACTACGGCTTTGCTTTTTAACTCTTACTTGCTCAGTGTTCAGTGTGAAAATACAGGTAATTGGGTTTCTAAAAATCTATACGGCTTTTGTTATTTTATAATGGTTTTCTTTTTGGTTACAAATTTTTTTTTCCATGTGATGAAAGCTTTTAAGATCTACTCTCTTAGTAACTTTCAAGTACAAAAATATGAAAATGTTTCACGAATTTTCGTGTCATCCTTGTGCAAGGACCATGCTAGTCTTCTCTGTATTGTCCCAGTTTTAGTATATATGCTGCTGAAGCGAGCAGTATTATGTGTTTCTTAAGACAGAAAAACAAAACTGACTTTTGGGAGTCTCCTTTCTTGTCTGTTACCCACTCCTGAACGTCTGACCTTTACGGTAGTACGTGAACTCGGAGACTTCCACTCCCCTGAGCAAACGTGACTGCTCCCTAGCATTCCAACCTTCGCTGGCCAAGCTCCACTCACGCTAACACCCCATTCCCTACTTTCCACCATAACCCGCTCTTTAAACTGTGCCAGGATTCTCATGGGGGACATAAATACTGGCTTTCCTGTCCCTCTCATGGATTTTATTGCTAGTGCCACCACTGTCCCTCACTCAGCATTTCTCCTTCTCTTGTCACTCCTACCTGGATAACGGACAAAATGTTCCTGAGAAATGAAAAAAAACTTCACAAACCTGCTGGAGACCCCTGCTGGCCTACCTGAGGGCAGCTGCTAGAGCTGCAGGCATGGAATGAAAGGAATTATTTGATGACTAATGAAATAAGGCGCCTCAGGGAAGTGTCTTGCAAATCCAACCTTATTCTGCAATAGCAAACCTCGAGGTGGCCACAGAGATGCCTCCTAACAGCTGCACGCGCCTGTAACTGACTTTCACCAACCAGCCTTTGCTACCTACAGACATTTCAGAGAGCATTTTACGACTTGCTCTCTCCACAAGTGGCACAGCCCCAAGCTCGCTTAGGCCTGAACATCTCTTCCTTTATCACCTACTGCTCCCTCACCTGTTTGTCACATACTCTTGAGGTGAGCCTTCCTCTTAAGTGGGATGCAGGTTATCCACTGACTCTGTTCTACCGCTCAGAGGTGAGGCTGAAGGCAAAGGCAGTGCTCCCACTTCCCCGGATGAGGAGCCCATCCCCCCACTACCATTCTCTTTCCTTTGTTGGTTCTATACCTGGTACTTGTTGGTAGAATTAAAGGGAATCTCTGCCACCTTGGGGCTTTTCTCTCTCATCTCCTTCACAGAGCTGTAAGACTGCTCGATGAACTTGAGGAGGGCTGACTCAGAAGCATCCCCTGTTGTCGCCCGCTGCCGGGATGGGTTTTGTATCGTAAGCTTGAGGGGCGTGGCACCTGGGCTTGCCCGTGGTGGCGACAAGGAGAGGGGCAGAGTGGGGAGGGAGTACCTGTGGGAAATCACTGAGTGCCAGAAGAGAGATTTTTGGGGAGACAGCGGGTTAGACCCTGGACACTGAGGTACCCTCTACCCTCTTAGGTCTGACTGACACCTTAGCTATGGGAAGGGTCTCCTGATCAGGCTTAAAGTCAGCCCGGTTGCAGAGGCCAGCGATTCGGGCCAGGATAAACCAGGTATCAGAGTCCTTGGCAAATGTATTCACTAGGGAGAAAGAACAGATTTATGAGCAGGGGATAGGAGAGTTTAAAGCAGGGAGTTATTCACAACCTGTTCTGTACCCAAATACTTCACAGAGACCACATTTCCTTTCCTTCATACCTCCCTTCTCTCCACTTACTCTCCAGCTATTTTCTGTCTGGACTCACCATTCACTCTCAGCTCACTCATCACATCCCCCAAATCTTTCCACTCTTGGCCCACCAATGCCACTAGTCACCAGTCTGTTCTTCACTAGTGTCGGCCTCATATGTGGTCTTATCGAACCATAAGTGGGCGACAGTCATGCGGTTCTGGGTGAGGGTGCCCGTCTTGTCAGAGCAGATGATGGAGGTGGAGCCCAGCGTCTCCACCGCCTCCAGGTTCTTCACCAGGCAGTTCTTCTTCGCCATGCGCTTGGCTGTCAGAGTCAGACACACCTAAGGCCAGGAAGAGGGGAGAGAATAAATGGAGAGAAGAGATTGGCTACTTATACCAATTTGTGTTTTGAGAGTCTGATCATTTTTATTGCTATTTCAATTGTTTGTATTTATTTCCCTTGTGTTCCCACCTAGTCATTAGAAATTCCATCTGTGGCTATGGTAAAGGAAATTAGGAAAGTGATCTTGGTTTGTGCTTTATGGCCGAGTTTCAAAACAAGGGTGTATTCCTTTACTAGAGCAGCACAGAGAACGATCACCTTATTCTCCCTGGAATATTCCACTCCCCAGTGAGCCTTTCATTTTTTCTACTCAGCAGCTTCTTTTTTATTCAAGTTCAGGCCACACCTCTTTCTCAAGTCTGACTTTCCAGGGACCACATCCACAGCTAATCTTTTATTGTGGTATAAGATGCTGTGTGTGAAGGGGGTTGTATCAATAGGTAAAAAAAAAAAAGGAAGGGAAAGGAGAAAATGATGAAATTGAGAAGGAATACTGCAGCACTGAAAAGAACTTGAGAAATCATTTAAACCAAAAGATTTTTCTTGACCATAAATTCAATGAAAGTCAAGTATATGGCAAGTTTGTTTTAAAAGTGAACAAATTCTTAGGCTGTGGTTACGTAAGCACAGAATTCTAATCATAGGGTTATGATTTATTTACATATCACTAGTCCTGATGTTTTTGTGCTAGTCTGTCCACACCACAGTGCTATTCTCATTTCTATTTTAAGGATACTGATAAACTAGAGCATACCCCCAAACAGGTGATTAGTTAAGACAAGGGCTCTGAAGACCATGTCATATGAAAAACGGACAAGAGGAAAGGGATTATCTTTCATCCTACCTGGAGAGTTTGAGGGGACATATGGCTGCTGTCAAAAATCTAAAGGGTAGTTTGTAGAAGAATTGACTCATTTTGTGTTTCCTCAGGTGGGAAAACTGGGATCAAACAGGGAATCATATTTCTGCTCAACACAATGAAATCTAACTAGAGCAATCCAACAATGAAATGAACTGAGACATTACTAGAAATAATCATCATCTCCCAGAGACTTTATAAAGGATATTCAGCATTGGTTGAAAGGTTGAATTTATATGGGCTTTGAAGTCCTTTCCAATAAAATCGTACAATTCTAAACTAATCTTCCTCTATAAACTGATGAATTGAGTCCTGGGGACGTTAAGTGATTTGGCTAAATTCACTACCCAGGACACCTGGAACTAGAACTTCTTCCCAGTGACTTAGAATCAAATGCTGTCTGCATCACAACTCACTTCCTCTCTCCTTGAGAAGAAAGAGAAAGAGAAGGCACCAGAAAATGTGGGTGGAGGAAGTCAATCTAATTTGGGAACTAAATGATTTTACACCTGTATACATGTCAGGTGATGTTCAACAACAAAAGAGATCCTAGTTATTTCATTTCCCTGGGTCTGTTTGTCTGCCCTGAGGCCACCCTTCACCCTGGCTACTCACGGTGACAGTAACCAGCAGCCCCTCAGGCACATTGGCCACAATGATGCCAATAAGAAAAATGACAGCCTTCAGCCAGCTGTAGCCCAACATGAGCGAGAGCCCAAAGAAAGAGACACCAAGGAAGACGGCCACCATTGTGATTATATGGATGAAGTGTTTGATCTCAGTAGCAATGGGGGTCTGGCCAACTGCTAGTCCTGATGTCAGCGAGGCAATGCGGCCCATCACTGTGGAGTCTCCTGTAGCAATCACAATGCCCCGGGCTGTTCCTGCGGATGAAGGCGGAAGTCTGAATTGGGAAGTCTGTTGGGTTTGGTTCCTACAAGGAGAAAGCTGTCAGTGGTCAAAAACAAGGTTGAAACTCAAGGCCCTGTGAAAGGTTCTTATGTTGTATTATCCTCATATTTAGTTTAGACAGATAAGGGTCTCCTAGTCCGAGAAGCCTCTGAAGAGATTTCACAGCTCTCCAGAGATACCCAAGTTTATTGCCTAATTGCCTTCACTGTCAAGAAGGTCTTCATCACACTTAATCTAAATATCTTCTATTGTCTCTATATTTCTTATTTTGCCCTCAGCAGCTAAACAGTGTCTAGATCTGCAAGAATAGTGGTTATGCTTCTGCTAGAGTCCTATCTTCCAATATCCCCTTCTCCTCTAACCCAGTGACTCTTAACCAGGGGCAATTTGCCCTCCAGGAGACAATGGCCATTTCTGAAGGTATTTTGGGTTGTCACAACTGGAGTGGGAAGGAGTTGGTACTAGCATCTAGTGTGCAGAGGGCAGGGATCCCGCTAAACATCCTGCAGTTCACAGGAGCCCTCCTCTCCCACTATAACAAAGGATTATCCTGCCCAAGTGTCAGTAGTGCCAGGGTTGCAACACCCTGCTATGACCTGAGCCCCTCCCTGCTTTGCTGGCTAGAGCCAGTCTGACCCCTGCTGGGGAGCACAGGTCCTAACAGCTGGGCTTCGGGGCTTTTCTCTCCAACACTGCCCTTGAGTCAGAAGGGAAGCATGGCCATCATGTTTGGCTTTACATACATCATGCAGGACACTCACCTACACAGCTTGAAATGAGGGGCCCCACAAGGTTCCTTGCTCAAAATAACCCTTACTGCTTTATCATATGGCTGAAATTTCTACCATTAAAGTTACAGTCAGATTCACCCAGAAAAGAAACGTATTATAGAAATAGCACTTATTTTAGAATCAGAAAGACTGAAACTGTTTGCCCTGGGGCAAGTTACTTAAACTCTTTGAGACTCAGGTTTCCTCATCTTTAAAATGGGATGAAAGCACCTACAAAGCTGCAAGAATGAAATGTTTTTAGAAGAGCCCAGAGCAGGGTTGGGCACATAGTAGGCACTCAACTATTCGTTTCTTTCTTTTCTTCATTTAGATGAAATTAGGGTCTCCAGAAGGACAGATATAAAATCACACGTGTGACTTGTGGGGGTGGCTCGAATCTGGCAGGCCCCACAGACATAACACAGGGTAGCTGGTCCATTCCCAAGGTCACCTTCAGCTACACGCGTCTGAGAGCAGGTCTTGCTCAGATAGCAGACAGGTCAGGTCAATGTTCTGCAGAAGAGTAATTCTGGAAAGCTTCACAGTGTGAGGCACTCTCTGAGATGAGCTTCAGACAGATTAAGCCTTGCGAAAGGAAGATACTGAAATAATTGAGAGGTGCTGAGAGGGTGTTATGTTTTGAGGGGGGTAGAGTATGGTGTCACCTCCATCTATTTTGCCATGGTTTGGTTTAGTCTAGTTCTTCGTTTCTATTGCTTCTGCTATGGTTTCCCCATGCTTGGCCATATACACCTTCTGTATATTGTCAGAGAAACAGCTTAGGCCTCTGTGAAGGTGCATGAGAACTCAAAGAGAGATTTTGTACCAGAAGCCCCATCAAGGTCCACAGTGATGAAAGCAGGGAGGCAGGGTTCTAGAAGAGAGGTTAAAGTTATGCTACTAGTTTACAGATTGCATAGAAATTCCTCAGTTTAAAAGTTAAGAGCTCCTTCAACCTAGCTCCACCCTCTTGGCCACATCTTAGATCCCACCAGTCTCCTCTTAGAGCCTCCTGTATTCTAGCCAGACCCTTGTGTCTCAGATGGAATGCCACCACCACTTTCTCCCTTATCTGAAGCATATACTTTGCTGACCAAAAAACCTACTTTGGAAGGACAAATCTGAGCAAATTTATTCCTAAAATTTAACAATAGAAATTTAGTGTTTTTGAAGGAAGCTTGCTAACTTGTATCTTTCCATACAAATTTTCTTAAATATATTTTATTTTCTAGATGGGTTCTTCTTCAGTCTTAATGTTACTCTTATCCTTTAAGGTATTTCCACGTTAAATAATTTTATTACCAGAGAGGTCATTAGCAAGTGTTATTCCAGATGAGGGTCTGTAGAAAGAGCATGGGCTGTGGAGACAGAGCTCCATGAGAATCCTTGATCCTCCTCTTTTTGGTTGAGTTGTGCTCTTGGACACTGCATTTAATTTCTTTGAACCTTAGTCTTTCATGTGTAAAATAGGAATAATATCTGCTGTATAATGTTCTGAGAATCAGAGTTATCTGTAGCACTTGACACATAGTAGGCATTCCATTAAAAAATAGCTATTTCTTAGATGCTCAAACACTTATCCTTAAACACGAATAATGGTTTTCATGTGTGTTCCAGACAGTCTTGCAGGCCTCCTTAAGGGGAAAGGATGAAGAAAAGGTTGACATAATGATATTGAGTCCATTGTTAGCACCTCGGCCAGACTGCCTCCCAGTTGAAGGATATCCTAGATTCTAGGAGCTAAGCCAAAGTGTGAGTGGCACCTCTGGTAACAAATGTGCAGTGCCAATACCCTTTCTTGGAATAGTGAGGAGAAGTTAGGGCTTACCTCAGGAAAAGAATGACCTAGCAGGGCTGAATAATTTTCCTCCTTTCTGTGCTATTTTCAGTTCATAGACCATAGACATATTCACTAACTGGAATAATAATAACTAACAATTTTAGGGCACTTACAATGTGTTAGACTTTGTGCTAAGCATTTTATATGTATTATGTCCTTTAATCCACATACAAATCTAAGGGGTGGCGACTTTTATTATCATCCTCGTGCAAATGTGGAAATGATGGCTTTGACCTTTCACCAAAGGTCATACAGGTCATGAGTGATGGAGAACCTAGACAGCATACCAGCTATTACCTACCCTACTACCTTTAGAAGATAGAGAGCTCTGGAAATCTTTGTTTCAATCGCTGCTTTTGAATCTAGGCTATTAATGATGCGATACTCACCTTCCACACAGTTGGTGGAGAAGAAGCAGATGTTTCGGGTCTCTAGAAGGTTCTCATGGGTGAAATGAGGAAAGCGGGACTGGGGCTCTGATTCTCCAGTCAATGATGAATTGTCCACCTGGGATGGGAGGGAGGATAGGTGATAAAATGAGCATGGGACAAAAGATTCATTTATAAAGATGACACATCTTTATCTGCCACCAACATCACCATTATTGACATGCAGGCAGAAACAAATTTACACACCAGTACCTTCTTGTCTCTAACCTCAAATTTTCCCTTGTAACTTTTCAAGGTTCTGAACAATAAGATCATACTTTCTTTAACTGAGCCCAGGTCACTACAGTGCCCTAAGACCATACTTAGTCCCCTCCCAATACTTTCCACCTCCCCTCACCTTACATCCTTGTGCAGAGATAAGGCGGATGTCGGCAGGGATTCGGTCCCCACCCTTCACTTCTACCAGGTCTCCCACTACCACATTTTGTACGTTGATCTGCATCTTTTCTCCACCTCGAATTACCAGAGCTTGCTGTGGGAAGATGGTGCAGGGTCACTTCCAAAGCTTTCTTCTTCTCCCATCCCCGTCCTGGCCTACAACTTCCACTCCTGGTCTCCTTCCTTCTGACTCCCCTTTCTTACACTGTCACTCCGCATCATACTTGACGGTCTCCTTGGGAGATTGCAAATTCTTACCATGGCTGTCTGCAGGGCCCTTTGCAATGTGACTTTGCTGCTCCTCGCGTTAAGAGATGGGGTCTATCTCTCCATCCCTACACTTGGGCTTGGCTATATGGCTTGCTTTGGCCAATAGGACTTTAGCAAATGTGATGCAACCAGAGGCTTAAAAAGTGCTTGCATGTTGGGGTTTGCCCTGTTGTCCCTACCCCTCTGCCACTCTATTGAACAAGCCAGAGCCAGCCTCCTGGAGGAAGAGAGATCATGAAGAGAGAGGCCCCAGCTGTCCCATTCATCTTGGTTGAGACCCCAGACATGTGAATGAGGTCATGTCTGACCATCCAGCACCAGCTAAGGTCAGCCCAGATCAGAAGAACAGCCCAGCTACAGAATTGTGAGAAATAATATGTTTGTCGTTTTGAGCCTCTAAGTTTTGGGGTGGTTAGGCAGCAAAAGCTAACTGATAGTCCAAACTCCTACTTCCATTCTACCAAAACATTTCCCCGGAACTCTTATTCAACAAAGAATTAAGTTATGTTGATACCAAAGGGAGAAGAAGATCCTGGGCTGTAATGCTAGAACATGATCATGTCGCTGGAAAATTTTAAAGCCTGTTTCTTTCCAAGTTTCCAGCCGTGTGCCTAGGAACCTCTTTCTACTGTCATATTATTTCCAGGTACTTTTTATTTGAAAATAATCTAAACTGTCAGAAAAGTTTCAAGAGAAAAAAAATTGTCCCAAGAACACCTGTATAACCTTTACCCAGATTCACCTAGTAACATTTATCCCATTTTCTTTGTCATCCGTTTTCTGTCTCTACATATGTGTGTATGGGAATATTTTTTTCCTGAACTATTTGAGGGTAAGTTACATACCTCATGATCTTTTATCCTACATAGTTCAGTGTGCATTTCCCAAGAATTAGGATATTAAATAACCACAATACAGTTACCGATTTCAGTAAATTTTACATTGATATAACACTTTAATCTACTGTCTCTATTCCAGTTTTGGCAGTTGACCCAATATATCCTTTACAGCATTATTGTCTCCTCCAGCACAGGATTCGGCCTAGGGCCAGGTGTTCCATTTAGTTGCCATGTCTCTTTAGCCTCTTTTAATCTGGAACATTTCCACAGCTGTTCTTTGTTATTAATGTCATTGACATTTAAAGAATCCAGCCTCCTCGACCTCCTTTGCCCTCCCCCTTTTTTTTGAATAGAATGTTCTTATTTAGGGTTTCGGATTATGCTCATTAGACTCGGATTATGCATTCTAGACCAGACTATTCATAGGTGATGTTGTCTCTTTCTCAGGCCTGATAGAGTAAAACCTAAGTGGACCTCACCCTCACTCAGCTCACTCATCATAGGATATAATTCTCCAGGGGACTTACTAATCGTGTATTTGGCTACATACTACACCTCCTCTCACTAGATCCTCCCACACCAATCCTACCTGAGGCACCATGCTCTTAAAAGACTCCATGATCTTGGAGCTCTTGGCCTCCTGATAATAGGAGAAGCAGCCTGTGATGAAGACCACGACAGCTAGTACAATGCCCAGGTACAGCTGGAGTGGGGAAAGAAAGGGCTCATCAGTAGGTCTTTTTCTTCTTCTTCATCCTCAGAAAGTCCGCCTGCAAGGGGAATAGCCATTTCTCCAGGTGGAAGAAACCACTGGACTCAGTTGGAGAGCACGGGGTCTGGGAAGAGTCTGAGACAGGGCCGGCTCACTCGGCTTCCTGGTTTAGGAACCCTAAGCAATAATGAGGGGCCAGCAAAATCCCATGTCTGAGAAGCCCTGTATCTTCCTCTCCAGGAAGGCTATTCATGGGGGGGCAGGGAGGGGGGAGGCAGATCGTGAGGGAGATGGGGAAGAAGGAGATGAAGAGAGAAAATTCCGGGAAAGAGAAAGGGACTGCAAAGTGCTCTGATGATCAGTTGGGAAGGTAATCAAAGGAGAGCAAGTTTCTGGGAAAACCATGTATCTTAGGGAGCTGAATCAGTAGCTTTCTAGACAAAGGGCTAGAAACCAGGAGGGACCATGGGCTCCCTTATAAAATCCCGGGAGTATCAGGGATTTGGGCCAGAGGACTTCAAGAGAGCTAGGTGGCTGAGCAGAAGAGTATCAAGGGCTAAGCAGAGACTGGACTGGCAGTAGCAGTTGAATAGACTCACATTATCTTTGGTAGGCTCCTCATTGAAATACGTCTGGATGCCATAGGCCACGAAGCAGAGAATGGCACCCGTCCACAGTAGGATGGAGAAGCCACCAAACAGTTGTTTACAGAATTTGACCCACTCAGGAGTGGTGGGGGGTGGGGTAAGTGTATTGGGTCCATCTCGATCCAGTATTTCCTGGGCCTTTTCTGGGCGAAGGCCCTGTGTGGAGATGAAATAGGGATGGACAGAGAACCATGAAAAGAGAAGCAGCTATAGCAAAGGGGAACCTGGCTTCAAAACTCAGATCTGCCATTTACAGCCCCAGAATGGGTCTAGAGACCAACGAAGCTCTCTGAAAGTCAGTCTTAAAGTTCCTCCTGGATAAGTGGGACTTTAAAATTTGCATTATAGAAGGGGTATCATTTAGCACCCTTACATAGGAAGGATTTTTAGCTTATGGATTGATTCACAAACCTTTCTAAACACCCATCTTGGGTCTAGCACGGTGGTACCAAAATGAGTAAGAATGGTCCCTACCCTATGGAGCGCCAACTCTAGGGCAAGATAAATAAATATCAATGGACAGTTTATAACATAATGTGAAAGACTAATGTAATGATGAGAGAGAATACATAATGTTGAGAACATATGGACAGTCCCACTTTGACTCTTTAACTTACAAATAGGAAAAAAAACCCAACTAAATACATGAATGCATAGATTCTCACTGTAGCCTTGTACACAAGCTTGTGTGCTTTTTACTCTAAATGAAAATGATAGTAGAACCTACCAGAGAATTGTAAAACACACTCTCCTTAATCACCATCAGCCACTCCCCAACCTCCCCCTGAAAAACATGCAATTTTAATAAAAACAAGACAAGCCTCCTACGCTCTTTACTGGTTACCAGATGGCCACTTCAAGCCCCTCCAAAGACGAAATTCTAGAGCTAAGAGGAACTTACATTTTGAGGGCTTTTATTTAAGTGTTTTACTTGTGATCATTGTATTAGTGGTTCTAGTAACAGCAGTGGTAATGGTAGGAGTAGTTATATATGGTTTTGCTGTTAAACCGTGGTTCTCAAAGTGTGGTCTGGGGACCCACGGGGTGCCGAGACCCTTTCAGGGGGTCCACAAGGTCAAATGATTTTCATAAGAATACTAAATGCATTGTTTTCCTTTTTCGCTCTCATTATTTCGAGTATACAGTGGAATTTTCCAAAGGCTACATGACACATGATATTGCAGCAGATTTACTACTGAAAATATATGAGAATCCAGCTGTCTTCTATTAAAAAGCTAGACATTAAAGAGATTTTAAAAAAATGCAAAATGCCACTAACTATTTTTGGTGTCATAAAAATACTATTTTTACTAATATACAATGGGATTCCTCTTGTTTTTAAATGAATTAGGAAATAATTTTAAATTTTCTTAATTTTAATTTCTAATACAGTAAATACAGATGGATATAACTCACAAAGCATAAGCTCTTTGGGGTCCTTGATAATAAGAGTGTGAAGGGGTCCTGAGGACAAATGTCTGAGCAGCGCTGCTCTAAACCATTCTTACTTTCTTATCTAATCCTGACCTCTCTGGGAGGCAGTTACCATGATCACCATCTTCCAGGTGTGTGTCCTGTGGAACTTGGCTGGGTGGAAGTTAAGGGTAAGAATATTGGACTCTTTGGGCCGGCCCCATGGCACAGAGGTTAAGTTCGCATGTTCTGCTTTGGCGGCCCAGGGTTCCCCAGTTCGGATCCCGGGTGCAGACATGGCACTGCTTGGCATGCCATGCTGTGGCAGGTGTCCCACAAACAAAGTAGAGGAAGATGGGCACGGATGTTAGCTCAGGGCCAGTCTTCCTCAGCAAAAACAGGAGGATTGGCAGCAGTTAGCTCAGGGCTAATCTTCCTCAAAAAAAAAAAAAAACTGGACTTGAAGTGAGGGGCTTGATTTCTAGCTCCAATTTTGTCCTGGTAGCCTCAAAGTTGGGGACGGGGACCCTCTGCCTCCCTCAGGTTGTTCCTTCACTCACCTTTGTCAGGTCCACAGAATACCTTCTGCTCAGCTCTTCCAAGGTTAATTTATGGTCATCCTGAGGAGACAGTGGAGTCATTGAGGAAGAGGTGGCGACCCCAGGTCATTTCCAGGGGAAGGAGAGAAACATTTGGGGGAAGAGGGATGGCTCTGGCCTCTGTGATTAATCCTCAAGGTAAGATGTTAAAAGGTTGAGGGTTGAGGAGTATTTTCAGAGGGTAATTTGTTAGCATCCATTTTGGGTGTTCTCACCATGACCACTTCCTTCTTCAGCTCCTCTATATTTGCCTTGTTTTTTTTCCTCTTCACCTTTTCTTTTTTCCTTCTCCCAACCATTTTCGGCACCCTTTTAGGTTTAGGTCCTGAGCTTGGATTCAGCTCTTGAGGCGTTACCCTCCCCCTTGTCTTCCCAAACTCCATAGTTATCCCTGGATATAGCTGACCCAGCTCAACTGGTGAGAAGAAAGCAAAAAGAGCGAGGGAGAGTGAGGACCGGGAGGCTGGAGGGGATGAAGGGGGAGGGGGAGAGGAATGGCGGCCTGAGGGAGTGCGGAGGGAGGGGCCGGGCAATGAGAAGACAGTGGTGGGGAGACAAAGAGCGAGCAGAGAGAAAGTGGAGGGAATGGAGGAGTGAGGTGGTAAAGAAGTGAGGGGATGGGAGAGGGAGGGAGAAAACCGAGAGAGGAGTGCAGAAGCCTGAGGTGGGAGACAGGAGACAGAGACTGTGAGGCCCTAAGAGATGGGCGCAGAAGCGTCAGGAACGTCAGGAACGGGGGAGTGGGGGGGTGGGAAGAGCCTGGGGCCTGAGACAGGAGAGGGAGGTGAGCAAATGAAGCCTGAGGACCTGGGGGAACAAAGAAGCCAAGGGCTCTCCAGAGGGAGTGAGGGGTTGCCTTTGTCTCTCCCTCTAAATTACAACCAGAGATCCATGGCCAACAGCGGATCCCCTACACAGCACAACATGACCCGACAGATCCAGGCAGCTATACATCTCAAGGCGGTGGGCGGGACGCGGAGCCTCCTGTCTCACCGCGCCCCCCCCCCGCCCCCTCCTGGCAGCGACGCAGGACGCGGAACCTCACGCAGCGCCTGCGGGACTGTGAGTGGAGGCAGGGCTGCCCAGCCCCACGCACCCTAAGTGGAGCTAACGCCAGGAGCGGCGGCCACGGCTGCTGAGGTCCGTGGGACAACACCCACAGGGGGGCGGTGGCTGTTGCGGGGGGCGGGGGGCGGGCCGCGGGCCGCGGGAGCGCGCGAGGAGCCAGGAGCAGGGGTGGCAGCTGGCTGGCGGCAGCCCCGCGTGCGCGCCCGCGCTCTCAAACGTCCCTGGGGAGGCAGGAGCAGCCGGCGGCAGCCCCGTGCCCGGGACGCGCACGTGAACGCCCGAGGGGCCCCGGCCATGGCGTGGTGGCTGCAGCGGGGACGGAGACCTGCCCTAGGACAGTGGGTGGAGCCGCCCATCCGCACAACTGCAAACACATACGGCGGGAGCTCCCTGCTCCCAGCCCCCAGTAGAGGCACCTCAGCCACCAACTCCATCAACAGCAGGGGCTGCATAGAATTCTCCGGGGGAATTAAGCCCTCCTATATCAATAATCACTCTGTAAATAGACTGAGTTTTCCAATCAGAAGACACAGAGTGGCTGGATGGATTAAAAAACAAGACCCAACAATATGCTGCCTCCAGGAAACACATCTCAGTTCTAAAGACAAACATAGGCTCAGAGTGAAGGGATGGAAGATGATACTCCAAGCAATTGGCAAGGAAAGGCAAGCAGGTGTTGCCATGCTTATATCCGACAAAGCAGACTGCAAGATAAAAAAGATAGGGGCCGGCTGGTGGCAGAGTGGTTAAGTTTGTATGCTCCACTTCAGCAGCCCAGGGTTTTGCCAGTTGGGATCTTGGGTGCAGACTTGGCACCGCTCATCAGGCCATGTTGAGGAGGCATCCTGCGTAGCTCGGCCAGAGGCACTCCCGGCTGGAATGTACAGCTGTGTACTGGGGGACTTTGGGGAGAAGAAGAAGGAAAAAAAGGTTGGCAGCAGATGTTAGCTCAGGTGCCAATCATTAAAAAGAAAAAACAATAATAAAAAAAGATAAAAAAGATAATGAGACACAAGAAGAGACAGTAAATAATGATAAAAGGAACATTCCACCAAGAGGACATTACACATATATATGCACCTAACACAGGAGCACCAAAGCATATAAAGCAACTATTAACAGACCTGAAGGGAGAAATCGACAGCAACACAATAATAGTAGGGGACCTACTTATAATAGTAGGGACACCCCACTTACATCAATGGATAGATCATCCAGACAGAAAGTCGAATAGCCAAAGCAATCTTGAGAAAAAAGAACAAAGCTGGAGGCATCACAATCCCTGACTTCAAAATAAGCTACGAAGCTATAGTAACCAAAACAGCATAGTACTGGTGCAAAAACAGACACACAGATCAATGGAGCAGAACTGAAAGCCCAGAAATAAAACCACACGACTATGGAGAGCTAATCTTTGACACAGGAACCAAGAACATACAATGGAGAAAGGATAGTCTCTTCAATAAGTGATGTTGGGAAAACTGGATAGCCATGTAAAAAAGAATGAAAGTAGACCATTATTTCCCATCATACACAAAAATTAACTCAAAATGGATTAAGGACTTGAATGTAAAATCTGAAACCATAAAACTCCTAGAAGAAAATATAGGCAATACACTCTTGGACATCAGTCTTAGCAGTATCTTTTCGAATACCATGTCTACTCAGGCAAGGGAAACAAAAGAAAAAATAAACAAATGGGACTACATCAGGCTAAAAAGCTTCTGCAAGGCAAAGGAAACTATGAACAAAATGAAAAGACAACCCACCAACTGGGAGAAAATACTTGCAAATCATATATCTGACAAGGGGTTAATTTCCAAAATAGATAAAGAACTCATGCAACACAACAACAAAAAAACAAACAACCTGATCAAGAAATGACCAGAGGATATGAACAGACATTTTCCCAAAGAAGCTATGCAGATGGCCACATGTACATGAAAAGATGTTCAAAATCACTAACCATTAGGGAAATGAAAATCAAAACTACAATGAGTTTTTACCTTACACCTGTCAGGATGACTATAATCACAAAGACAAAAAAATAACAATTGTTGGAGAGGATGTGGAGAAAAGGGAACTCTCATACACTGCTGGTGGGAATGCAAATTGGTGCAGCCACTATGGAAAACAGTATGGAGATTTCTCAAAAAACTAAAAATAGAAGTACCATATGATCCAGCTGTCCCACTACTGGATATCCAAAGAACATGAAATCAACATTCCTAAGATTTATGCACCCCTGTGTTCATCACAGCATTATTCACAATAGCCAAGATGAGGAGGCAACCCAAGTGCCCATCGACAGATGAATGGATGAAGAAGATGTGGTTTATATATATAATGGAATACTACTCAGCCATAAAAAAAGACAAAATCATGCCTTTTGCAACATGGATGGACCTTGAGGGTGTGATGTTAAGTGAAATAAGCCAGACAGAGAAAGACCAATGCCGCACTCATCTGTGGAAGGTAAACAAACACATGGATAAAGAGAACAGACTAGTGGTTATCAGAGGGGAAGGAGGATGGGGGGAAGGCAAACGGGGTAAAGGGGCACGTGTGTAGAGTGACAGATAAAAGCTAGACTATTGGGGGTGAGCATGATACAGTCTATACAGAAACTGATATATAATAATGTACACCCAATGTTACACAGTGTTATAAATCAATATGACCTCAACAAAATAATAAAATTTAAAAATTAAAAAAAAAGAAGTGGAGGGTAGCCTAAGCGATGAAGTGAAGATGCACAGGGTGCTGAGCAAGTGGGAAATGCAGGGGGAATGAGGAGGCCAAGTGGGCTCAGGGTTTCCTGGGAGCCCCCCAGGCCCTGTGGGCCCTGAGGCAACGGCCCAGGTCTGTCACAAAGGCCTCGTGGAAGGTCTAATTGAGAAGTCAGAAGTGTCAGTCTGAGTCTGAGGATGATTGGAGCAGGTTCTGCCACAGAGAGAGTTTCAGTCTGAGGGCAAGACTGGAACAAAGTCCCAGCTCGGTCCAGCTGACTTCTGAGACTTAGAGGTACCCTAGAGAGCTGACTCAAAACAAAGCAGGCGCTCTGCGTGTGAGTGTTTTACTGAGGTGCGCTTCTCCACCAACACTGATTTTGAGCTTTTTGTTTTAGGAGATAAGATAGCAGAATAGGTCAGATCTTGGGCTTTTGAGTCAATCCTAGGTTTGAATCCTGGCACCGCTGTTTACCCGCTGTGTGGCTTTGGGCAAGTTACTTAACCTCTCTGTGCCTCTCTTTCCTCATCTATAGAAGGGGATAGTCTCTACCTCATACGGTGGCAAGAGTAAAGATTAAAGCAAGGTGTTCTGGGTAAAGCACGATGTCTGACATACATAGTATGTGTTCAATAAATAGCTTGAATTAAGTATCACTAGTTTTACTTGTGGCTTAATGTGCAGCTCTTTTCAGTGAGAGTAAAAATATGCTGTTCCATGTGATAACACTGTATTTTCCTTTTAATATGACGTATTTATCACTTCCGTTCACCTTCTTTGACATCTAGGTAAATGGTTTGACTGTATGAACTTTATGTAAGTTTTACGTGTAAATTAGATGCTACTTCTTTCCAAAAAGGATCTGAAGCAGCTAGATAGTTCTATAACTCATTTATGCATTTTTTTTTCAGTTGTGCATGTCTCATATATTTTCCCTTTCCATTGTTTGATGTTTACTTAGTTGCATTTTGGTTTGGCATGCTTTTTAAAAATATGGCTCTATCTGAAAACACCCATCTTGATGCTGATGCGACCCTCCTTCAATATTCAGAAATAGAAATTTTCCCTTCCCTGTGGGGATGAATGAGAGTCTGTTTCTGTAACAGATTGGACTGGATTTTTCTTCTGTATTAAAAATGTACATAATCAAAACTGAAAGTTCCACTTTCCCGCCCTCCCAACCTCGATTCCCCGCTTCTGACGTTACTGCTCTTGACGGTGCGCTGCATGTCCTTCCAATCTTTTTTCTATGTTTATACAAATAGATATCTAAACGGAGATGTCTTAATTTTTGAAGAATCATTCAACTCCACTTTATTTATCAATCTGTCATGTATGTAAAACTCTTTTTTTTAGTGGCTTCAAGGCATTCCATATCCTGTATTGACTTTGGTCTCTTCAATCATTCCCCCTACTGATGGATTTATTGGATATTTTCCATTTATTTTTTTAACCATTTAAAACACTGCTGCCGTGGCATCCTTATATATCCGTACCCTTAAGCCCTTGAGCTTCAATTTCTGTAAAATCAATTCCTGCTGCAGAATCACAGGATAGTCTCATTTAAAATCTTAAAAGATTCTGCCCAATTACTCTTCAGAAAGTCTCTTCCTATCTATGTTCCAGCAACAAGATGCAAGAATGTCCACTCCTCCCACCTTTGATTACACTGGGTGACGTTGATCTTTTACATTTCTACCATTATCATCGGTGAAATTTGGTATCTTTTAGTTTCAATTTGCGTTTCTTTATTTCCCAGGTGAGTAATTTTTCTTATGTTTATTGGCTTTCTGGATTTCATTTTTCTTTTTGTGAATTGTTCTTATCATTTGCCCAATTTTCCATTGTTTTCTTTTTCTTATTGATTTGTAGGAGCCCCTTGCATATACGTTGCAAATATTTTCTCCCAGTCTTTGTGTTTAATGTAGATCATAAAATCCTTAAGAGCAAGGTAGAATTAAAGTTAAATGGCCAAGTTCATCTATGTATCCTCTATGAGACAACAGCCCTCAGCCCAGCCTTGCACATAGGAGGACCCCCAAAGCAACTTTATTGACGTATAATCAATTGAAATTATTTTTGGAACCCCCATTCAGTTCCACAGATCTTCGTTCAAGTGTACCTCTTCCAAGAGGTCTGATTGCCAAATCCCAAAGAGCCCCTTCCACACGCAGTGTGATCTTCACCGCACTTTTCACTCTCTGAAATTATCCTGTCCATTTGTGTGTGGACTTATTGTCTGTTTCTCCATGACAGTGGGGACCTTT